TGAGACACAATAATGACAACTAAGCATAACTGCAAAATGTTGAAGTTGTAATTACGCCAAATGATTTTCTGCTTTTTCACTACTTTGTCATATCTTTATGCTTATTTTCCAGCAGAATCTATCTTCTTCTTGTGCTGTTCCTCTAATATGTAGTGCAAAATTACAGAAATAGAACAGGGATTCACTTTAGTCTTTAGATCCAGTTAATTACGCACATTCACTTTTCAATTGTTTTAATTGGCAAGTTATATAATACTTCAGATAGAATATTAAATCACAATTCTTTTTTTTTATTTTAGATCTTCAACAAATTTCATTCATGTCTTTTTTAATTTATTTGTTCACAATAAATTTGCTTGAAAGTTCGCAATTTTAAAAATTCAAAATTGATTCTTCTTTTTTTTTCAATAAATATTTTTTAAAATTTAAACTCGCAACTCGATGTTTTTCCACTGACGTTCACCACAAAAATGAGTTTTCATTGAAAATGGTGCTATGTAATATAGTTGAAGCGTTATAGTTTTGTAGCATCGCGAAGAATACCATGAGCAGAGCGAAAAATGAATGAGAAGAAAACAAAAATTTATGGCAAACTGTTGATTTTTCTTCTCTTTACATGTTGAGATTCTTTTTGCTGTACATAGATTTTTTTGGTGCTGCTATATGCAATTCAGAGATTTGAATGAAAATGTGAGAGAATAAATTGTCTATTATTTGAATTGTTGGTATTGTGTGCACCAGAATGTGATGAAAAACAATATTGAATGGTCACTAAAGAGTCATTTGCGAATGATGTCTTCCAAAAAATTTATTTTTTACATCCTCTTTTATCCTTTAGAATTCAAAAATCTCAATTCAAAAAAGAATTAAAATGCTTACGCCTAGCGAGGCTAACTAGCAAATTGCTAGTCTTTCTATTCTACTACTTGCAATTTACCAGTTATTATTAAAATAACTTACTATTAGTAAATTACACTTACTTTTTAATAGCAAGTTACTAGCAAATTACCATGTGAAATTTGATCGAATCTGCTTAAGTTCGAATCTTACGAAAAATCATCAAAAAAAGAATTTTTTGCGTCATAAAAAATTTTGTTCTAAATTTGGCATTTGCCATATATTTCACAAGAGCGCGCAGAAATCACCATTATAAGATTGATGTTTGATCAAATCTGATTAAGTTCGAAGCTTACGAAAAATCATCAAAAAAAGAAATTTTTGCGTCATAAAAAATTTTGTTCTAAATTTGGCATTTGCCATATATTTCACAAGAGCGCGCAGAAATCACCATTATAAGATTGATGTTTGATCAAGTCTGATTAAGTTCGAATCCTACGAAAAATCATCAACAAAAGAATTTTTTGCGTCATTAAAAATTTTGTTCTAAATTTGGCATTTGTCATATATTTCACAAGAGCGCGCAGAAATCACCATTATAAGATTGATGTTTGATCAAGTCTGATTAAGTTCAAATCCTACGAAAAATCATCAAAAAAGGGTTTTTTGCATCATAAAAATTTTTGTTCTAAATTTGGCATTTGCCATATATTTCACAAGAGCGCGTAGAAATCACCATTATAAGATTGATGTTTGATCAAGTCTGATTAAGTTCGAATCCTACGAAAAATCATCAAAAAAAGAATTTTTTGCGTCATAAAAAATTTTGTACTAAATTTGGCATTTGCCATATATTTCACAAGAGCGCACAGAAATCACCATTATAAGATTGATGTTTGATCAAATCTGATTAAGTTCGAATCTTACGAAAAATCATCAACAAAAGAATTTTTTGCGTCATAAAAAATTTTGTTCTAAATTTGGCATTTGCCATATATTTCACAAGAGCGCGCAGAAATCGCCATTATAAGATTGATGTTTGATCAAGTCTGATTAAGTTCGAATCCTACGAAAAATCATCAAAAAAGAGTTTTTTGCATCATCAAAAATTTTGTTTCAAATTTGGCATTTGTCATGTACTTCACAAGAGCGCGCAAAAATCACCATTATAAGATTGATGTTTGATCAAGTCTGATTAAGTTCGAATCCTACGAAAAATCATCAAAAAAGAGTTTTTTGCGTCATAAAAAATTTTGTTTTAAATTTGGCATTTGCCATGTATTTCACAAGAGCGCCCAGAAATTACCATTATAAGATTGATGTTTGTTCAAATCTATGGTACGCCAACGAGTCCTTATTTTCGATATTGAATTTTTTTGGGACCTTATTTTCGAGCATAAGTTTAAATTTTTTTCACACGTTAAATTATAAATGTCTAATATCTCTAATTAATAGTTTAAATATTTGTTTTTCATCATCAAAATGTTAAACGAATCCACTCAAATGTAATGAATCATTACTGATTTACTAAACAATTAGTGCAAGTGAATTAATAACATTTTTATTTCCAATGTAAACAACAAAAAAAATTTATAATATTTTTGAAAAAAAAGCATTTTAAACTAATGTTTGCTGCATTTATCACCGATTAGACGATTAAATTAGTGTTAAAAGACATAGTAGAATGATTTAATTCTGTAATCATAAGTAAATTAAGTCAAAAATTGCGAAAAATTGAAATTTTCATAAAAAAAAGTTTTTCGAAATTGCGAAATTTTGTTCGAAAAACATTCGAAACGAGTTTGAATTTATTTCGAATCAACGTTGACAACGTCTCTTGGCACATCATAGGTTCAAATCTGCTTAAGTTCGAATCTTACGAAAAATCATCAAAAAAAGAATTTTTTGCGTCATAAAAAATTTTGTTCTAAATTTGGCATTTGCCATGTACTTCACAAGAGCGCGCATAAATCACCATTATAAGATTGATGTTTGATCAAGTCTGATTAAGTTCGAATCCTACGAAAAATCATCAAAAAAGAGTTTTTTGCGTCATAAAAATTTTGTTTTAAATTTGGCATTTGCCATGTACTTCACTTGATCAAGTCTGCTTAAGTTCGAATCTTACGAAAAATCATCAAAAAAGAGTTTTTTGCGTCATAAAAATTTTGTTTTAAATTTGGCATTTGCCATGTACTTCACTTGATCAAGTCTGCTTAAGTTCGAATCCTACGAAAAATCATCAAAAAAAGAATTTTTTGCGTCATAAAAAATTTTGTTCTAAATTTGGCATTGGCCATATATTTCACAAGAGCGCGCAGAAATCACCATTATAAGATTGATGTTTGATCAAGTCTGATTAAGTTCGAATCCTACGAAAAATCATCAAAAAAGAGTTTTTTGCGTCATAAAAATTTTGTTTTAAATTTGGCATTTGCCATGTACTTCACTTGATCAAGTCTGCTTAAGTTCGAATCTTACGAAAAATCATCAAAAAAAGAATTTTTTGCGTCATAGAAAATTTTGTTTTAAATTTGGCATTTGCCATATATTTCACAAGAGCGCGCAGAAATCACCTTTATAAGGTCGATCCAAATTTGTATGTGACTTTCAATTAATTATTTATCTTCCTCAGGTTTGCGTACGAGTCAGTGTTCGACTTAATTAAATTAAGTCTTTGATTTTTTTCATAGTGTTAGTGTACTTTAATTAAGTACACACTAATCCTTTTACAATAATTTACACAAATAAGAAAAATCAAAAGAACACGTGGAAATTAACGGTTATATTAATTTAAATTTTTTCAATTTTGCTAGTAAATTACTAGTAAAATTGTAAGCGAATTGACTAGTCAATTAGCAAGTGGATTTTGACTAGTAAATAGCAAGTAGCAAATCGAAAGTTATCCAGTAAATTACTAGTAAATTCCTGCTAGGGTACATAATAAAATCCATCCTTTTAGTTCCAATATGTTTGACATCACTTGGAAATGACTCCTACATGTATGTTATACTTACGCATGTGCTACGATTTAAAAGCTACTAATTTCTGGTCATTAATGAGATTTGTTGATCATTTTACTGGAGTTACAGAACAATGCTAGCACAAAGATGATGAATATGATTTTAACAAACCTAAAACAGAATAAAGTTGTTTTTAATTTTTTGTTAATTACTTCCATGTTAAATTAATTAAGTTATAGAATTTGAATTTTTGACTTTTAAATGCTTTTAAGTACTTTAATGTCATTAGTGATTCTTCCTTTAAATTAAAAACATAATATTATGATGTAATAAAGATGTCAAATTTTGACAGTCAACTGCTTATGGCTTAATTAATGTAAAATCGTTTTAATCTTAATCAATTTTACTTACAGTGGAATTTTAGATACTTTTGCTAATATCTGCAATATTTCAATTAATTTTGTCTCAAGGAACCACCAGATAAAGACGACAATTTTCCTGAAAAATAAAAAAAAAATTAAATTTCGCTTTTAACCTGAATGATTCAAATGACAAAAATGTTGGAACTGATCAATCAAAGCTGCTCTATTGATTGATTTATAAAACAAGATTTTATAGCAAATGAAATAAGTTAAAAGAGTTTAACATGGATCCGTGAAGGCTCAATTGTGTCTGAGTTTTAGGGGATTCTAGTGGTGCCTTCTTCACTTTTAATGCTTCATTAAATTAACTCACGTCATAACAAAGAGCACAAAAATGCTGAAAATCCCTAGAAAATTCAGAACTTTACAACCAAGACGTTTTGCTGTAATTGAACAACCTTCTTTAGAACATTCAGACTTTTGATCTACAAAATCTGAACTTGATGAATTGAGAGTTTCCATTATGATGATTTAATTTTCACTGTGAATTTTGATTGAATGAAATTCAAAAGTTTACTGTGGTTAATTTCATATGGTTATAATTCATATTAAAATTTCGCGCACGTTGCTCTATCAAAAATTGACAGGTTTGATTTGTAATGCCTATGGAATTATCAAAAAAGCCTGAAATTGGCAGACGCTAACTTGAGAGATTGATAAGAATTAAACTTATGAGTCAACAAATATTTTAATGACTTTATTTTCTGGTTGTAAGTTTTCTACAGTTTCTTGATAAGTTTTGTGATCTTAATGATATCCAATTTGATGTACCTTAGATTTATTGGAAATGTTGACGTTGATTACCTTGTTGCTGACCTAAAGGACCTTGGACTTGTGGAGCGCCTTCATTTTGTGACCCGAATGGATTTGGCATTCCTATGAAATTATTATTATTAGACTCAGCATTTTGTTATGTTAACCTTTTACTTACCAAAAAATCTTCTGCCTTGATTAGTTTGTTGAACACTTCCTTGAGAATTTGCATTGCCTGTGCCATACTGCATAATATAGGATTGACTATTTACATTGTTTCTTCTTCCTTGAACCTGCTGAACTTGTGATTGTTGATTAGCATTATTTCCTCCTAATTGTTGCACTTTTGTCTGTTGATTAACATTAGATCTTCTATGTCCTGCAACTTGTTGAACTTTAGTTTGTTGATTAGCATTTCCATTTCCATATTGCTGAACTTCAGACTGTGAATTAAAATTGGATCTTCTACCATAGTATGGGAAAGGATTTGATGGTCTGTATTGTTGGACTTGATTCTGCTGATTTGCATTATTGCCTCCATATTGTTGAACTTTCGCTTGCTGATTAGCGTTATTTCCACCGAATTGTTGAACTTCAGATTGTTGATTCATATTGAATCTATTCATTGGATTCATTGCATGATCATTTTGTGGATTATTCATTGGATGATCATTTTGTGGATTGTTCATTCTTTCCATTGGATTTGAGAACTGTGGTGGTTGAGCGAAAGCCAAACTGATATTTAGTATCACAATTCCTACAAAAATTAAACTGAACGACTTCATTTTGCGACCGATATATCGAACTTAGTTATCAAAGAATCAAACTAAATGTAAGCCTCAAACTTGTTCCAATATTTATACTATTCCCATAATCAAACAAAATTAATACAATTAAAAATTATAAATGATTACATGCTTTATTAGTCACACTGGGATTTTTTATTTCAAATAAAAGTATTTTAATTGAGTAGCATTTGATTGTGCTTTGAGCTTCATTAAATCTTCATGCTATCGCGTATGCAGCATAATTTGAGATACCACACATGTTGACTCCACGTTTGACTCTCATATATCCACTCTCGCCCCAGCGTTGACCCCACCAGTTCTTGAGAATCCATGCATCTTCAGTATATCCAATTAATAACATTGCGTGATTAACTGTCGTTGACAGACATTGTGGGTCATCATAGACACCAGTACTGTATAATTGAAATGTCTTTGGTGCTGCATTTATCGAAACTGCAATAGGACCAACCTCATTTAAAACAGCCTTCATAATATTTTCATTTCTTGCTGGCAGAATCGACCATGAAGTTATGTTCACTATTGCCCAATCTCGATCAAAAGAACATTTATTATGCTGCAGAAGTGAAAACATGAATGAACTCAAATTTAATTTTTATTAATGAATGAAGGCTTTGAATTACTTACAGTTGCTGTATATGGATAGTCCGATTCCCTCATTAAACCGCCACTACTTTCAAGATATCGCATTGTCGTGCGTAAAGAACCACCAGAACATCCATGATTACCATGCGAGGCACTACAGTCAACAACTTGTTGCTCACTTAATTCGACAATTCGATTAAGCTTCTTAAACAATTGTCCCTCGACTGAATGAACGACGCTAAAAGCATAGCACGAGCCACAAGATTTCTGATTTTTTGGTGGCGTGACAAAACCTTTTAGTCTCCAATCTAGTGACTCTGGATATTCTTTATTTCCAAATTGAGTATCTCCTAGAATGTAACTGCGATCATCAGTCATATCAATCTCACTGTTTACAAGTCGAACGTAACGTCGCAAATATTGCTGATTTGACAAGTCAGCTAAGTCATTTCTAGTCAGCTTAAATGAATATTTTCCTTGCTTGAACTGCTCATTGTGTTTCTGAATAATTTCCAAATTCTCTTCGAATGCCTTACGACGTCGGTCTTCTCGAAATTCCATTTGAAATGTTTTGTTAAATTGTGCCTTAAAAAGAATGTAAAGCATGTAAAATTTATGTAGATATTTATCATGAGAACCTTACCTTGTACTCCTCCCACCGCTGTGCAGTTTCATTTTGAATATTTTCATTTTCATCCGCAATAATGCAAGAAATTATGCAATGTAGCATAAATGCATGAAAAACTTTCATCATGCAATTGAAAGTTATCAGCTTGAACGTCTAATCGCAACTGAATATTCATTTGATAGTTTATTGAATATTTGATGACCTAAATTTTTGCATCCTTACATTTTTTGCTTAAATCGCTTAAATCAACAAAATTAATTTAATTTTTTTAAAATAGAAATCGAGAGACGAGAGAGAATGCTTTATAGGAATGGAACTTGAAAAAACAAAACAAACAATGCCAAATATTCTTTTGTTGTTAATTAATGAGGTTTCAAAAAAATTCTTAATCTTTCAATGACAATGTCAATCTATGTAGCTACTATAGTAATATATTATTTATATTTCTGTCGAGGAAGAGATAATCTTATGAATACATAAGTAAACTTATCCATATAATAAAAAATCAAGTATCTATTAAACAATATGATAAATGGATGTTTTTCCGCAATCATCATCATCATCGAACTACTTGCTGAAAATTTTAAAATGAACCTCCGAAAAAGTTTGAAAATTTAAAGCCAATTAAAAATGAATTTTTAATAAGAAAAATGTCTTTATTGTTAAATGTTGAAATGTTAAACATTAAAGAAGAAAAAAAAGAGCCTCGAATGACCTTGCAACTCTTTACTTATAAGTTTTTTAGACCAAAACTGAATAAATTTTCATATACACACTGAGAGATCGTTGATCAAATTGATGTGAAAATCACTGATATGCTTGTGAACTCTTTGTAGTGAATAAAACGCATTTTAGAATTATTTTTCAGTGATTCAGCTGCTGGTACTTTAAAACTCAGTCTCTAAACTAGATGACAACCTCTTAAATGCATTAAAGTGAATTAAGCAGATGAATAAGTTTCTTCAACTAATCATAACTTTGAGATTTACTTGTCCTACAGTTTACACTGTAAAAGTGAACATTAACAGCATAATCAACTCAAAAAACATGCTAAAAGCAAGTAATCGAGGAAAATGTGTAGCGAAACGTGCGTTTAAAAATCTCCACAACGATAAACTCTTACATTTAATTTGAGGAGAGTAAACAAGCTTTTCTTTCAAAATTTGCCTATTATGATGAGTTTTATGACGACTAATGCTGTCTTTCTATTTAAATTTTCAACAAGATGATTCTGATAAAGATCTCGTGGTGCTTGTGAAACACATAAAATTACGAGCAATGAAACAATTTCAATTGATTTCACTACAAATTGAGCGATCATTATCTTCATTTAATTAATAATATTTTTTTAAAAGTTTATACATCGGATGCTATAAAAATATTTGGAGATTGTTATCAAAGTGATATATTTCTTCTTTTTCTACTCGACTCGAGACTATCCCAATGCCAAAAATATCAGCTTTTTTTTCTCATCTTCATGAAAATGAACGAACATCGTTGAGGTGTTTCACATCTTCACTGTGTGTATTTTAAAATCCTTTTCATTAACATGATCAGTCGTATGGAACGTATGAACTCATCATAAAATTGCAGCAATTAATTCAGTGATATATGAGTAAATGAAATTTAATTAAATTTTTGTTTTTTTCCTAATCAAATAAAATATTTTTATTATTAATCTCTTTGTAATTGTTATTTTAGACAGCATCATCTTGCATCATCATTGGAACTTCAGCAACTGGTGCATCCATCATAGATTCGGTTATATTGCTAATTGAGGTTGGTGGAGTATGTGGTATGTTTGTTCCATTAAATGCTGCAATCAAGACATTTATGACAGTGATGACAAAAACTCCAACGATACTCAAATTTGATATTCTTGTTGCTGCATTCATATGTGATTGACGCTTTAAATTGTAGCTGTAAATAATTGTGTAATTGTGTAAATGAATTCTAGACCCGAAAAAATAAAAATTCTAAGTTCAATTTAGAGCACGGTACTTTACCCATTCGAATACAACAAAGCTAATCCAACAATTATCTGCAATGCCAATGATGTGCCAATTAGAGTAAGGCTTGTTAAATAATATGGATGCATATAGTTCATGTCGAGCACGTATCTAAGTTGGTTACAATTTGATGAAAGCAATGCAAGGTCCATCATACCTACAAATTTCGTAAGAATATTTCTGTTGAGAAAAATACCGCTTCGTGAGATTCGAGCAATCAACGCGTGTTCTACATTTTTTTTTCTAAATCAATTTTCTATAGCCAACAAAATAAATTGAAATAATGTGCAATTTAGGAGAAATGAACTTAACACTTACATAAAAGACTTATTATCAAATTGTCAGAAAATTACTATTTTGGTTGATTTAAGTATTCGAAGTACCAACATTTTTATGGCGGGAAAGGTTCTGTTATTTTTTGTGTGTACTTTAACTGTCCATTGGAATGTTTGTTTGCTTATTATTTAAGACGATTGACATACATTCGAAAATGATGGGAAATTTACATGATTACGACGAATTCTCGACCTTTAGTGAAGATTTAATGTTTATTGACATGTTAACAGTTTTTAAGAAAGGTTAAGAACTTAATTTATTTCCGATATTTGTAGCAAAATTGTTTAAAATTTTTATGAAGCATCAAAATAAGATTAATTTAATATCATAACAAAACAATGACAAACCAGTGGAGAGCTGTTGGTAAGTGAATAGCAAATTACCGGCTGTCGGGGCAAAAGGCTGCAAAAACTTTATCGTCGTCAAGAATTTTCAAATTATTGTTCCTGGAATCCTCCCTAGCTAGGTTGCATACTTTGCTTAAGTATTTCTCTGCTCTTTTTAAGCTTCAATTGATTTTAAATCGTGATAGACACCATTCCCAAGATTTGAGGCTTGGATGTATGTATATTATCGTACTAATCTTTCAATGTGTCCCCCAACAAATCCCACAACATTAGAATAATTTTACTTTTAACCAATTTTAACTTACCTTGAGCGACATTTTTCTTTTGCACGAAGCTTTGAACCTCATTTTGATAGTGTTTAGTTGAATCTGCTGGTCTTACTGCTTCATCAAAATTTTCAATATTATTACTGATTGAGTCTTGATTGCTTTGTTTTCCTTCCTCAAAAATCTCCTCCTTATTAACTTTTCAATCGGATTTCCAATCATCATAAAAATAGAAAAGCAAATTTTATTGGCAACGTAAAATTATCATTTGGAAGCAAAGCTGCATATAGCAAAAGAACACTTGTTGCATATGTTTAAAGCGAAGCACATGATCCACTAAGGCATTAGCTAATTCAAAACACTTTTTCATACCACTTTCATTAACTGAACCCTCTACACTAAATTTTGTATCATATCTTTTATTTTTCAGGATGCCTCTTTGTCTTTCATCATTATAAGATGGTGGCAAAAAATCAAATTCATTCCTTAACATTGCACAATATTCGTCACTGCTTGTTACCCTATCTAAGGGTGGATTTGAAGGCGCTTTCGAATTCTTCGATTGAACTTTGTTCGACACATTTGTCATCACTTTTTTTACATCATTTTTATCAATTTTCTGTAAGGCATTAACAAGCCTATCACTTGCAAAATCAATAATTTTTGCCTGCATTACTCACGCAAAGGTTTTATTTCCGAATAACTCAAAAGACAAATCACTACTGTTCACAAAAAAAAAATAATAATTATCGTAAAGTTTATTTACCCACATTGAATATTTTATCTTATCATGATAATCTCGGTTCCTTACTGACAAACTACAAATGTATTTCTGATTTGAGAAAGTAACCAAAATGTGACATGTGAGCTGTAAAAAGAGGCCGAAAATAAAACAAATAATAAATGTCATGTAGTCTATTAATTGATAACTTTTGTATCTATATCTTAGATTTATAATCATGATGTCATGTCTAGATTATTGAGTGAATCAAATGGTGCAAGTTTTATCTACAAGGAAACTTTGAGATTTTGGGGAATACTTGAAGGTATTTATTTGGCAATGAACATTAAGTTATAATTTACTTTGATGGACGTACAATTCAGGCTCTTACAGGCTGATTTTTAAGAATAAAACTATAAGTCATCCACGTTATTCGACTGAAACTTCCCGCATTCATGTCTAGCACAGCCAAATCTTAGTCAAAACTAGCTTCAGTCAGAGCTAGGACAACCTATCTTTCCTAAAGTAAGAAACAGTTCATATTTTAAATTAATCAATTTTATTAAACATCACTTTTAAAAGTCTGATTATTTTTAAGTCTACTCAGCATTAATGTCGTCACTTAGACGTTAAATTTTAGTCAAAATTATCTTATTCGTAGAAATCAATTGTAAATATAAATTTCTTAAAAAAATTCAGCAAATGTTATGCCTGTCAGCACAACATTAGCACAGAAAATCATATAAGTAAGAAACGTCGTAAATTTACGAAGGCATTCCATCCTCTTAAAATGCTCAGAATAGTCTGAATTATAGTTTCCACAAGATATAATTGAACAAATTTTTGCTAGCAATTGAAAGAAGAAGCTTGCAGCAAGAAGCGATAAGCTTATATAAAATATCAGGTTTCTTTCCTTAGAATTAAGAAGGTGCTTGAGTTGATTAGCATTTGCAGCTATGAGCGATAAGTTCATCAATACAAACATGAATGTTTTGCTGCGATTTAAGCCAATCATGTTGATGATTGTTGATAGAAGCTCATTGACGGTTTCACTTGGTGAAATTTCGTAGATCTGTGGATAAAGAAAAGGATTATAATTATTTGGTCCATAAAGAACTCAGATGAATTATCCTTAAAAAATGTCAACTAACATTTGGATGATGTCCTTCGTTTACATCATCTCGAATTCTTTCTGTAAATCCACTCAATATAGCTTCGAAAGGAACTTCTTCGTCAACTTCAACTAAGGTATCCTCAATAAATTCTCCATGCACTTCTGCTATGTGCTGAATAATAGTCACTGATTCAACGATAGTATTATTCAGTTCACCATCTTTTGTTTCTTTCTCATGACTTGCATCGTTGTGGGTTGTTGTGCCCTGTTCATTTTCATGCTGATCATCCACTTCAATTTCGTCGAAATCAATAACTGCATGAAAATTGCGGAGGGCTCGGCAAGAAGTTTTTGATTTGATTGATTTTAAACTATTACCAGAACTATCCGATTCAGTCTTTGCTTCAAGATCACTAAATTCATGGTCTGTTGGCGTTCCATATTCTTCATTCAGATTCTTGCTGCTGCTTACTTCACTTGATACTGATGAATAACTTGATCCCAAGAATGTACTTCCATATTTTCTTTGGGAAGAATCTGATGCACCAGAATTTGACGAGGAACAGTGTTCTTCCTCAATTGGCGATAATTCATCATATGAATCATCATCTGATGATGGTGGCAACATTGGCAGCTTGTCTTCATTTTTGGATGAGAACTTTTTGTTGGAAATTGACATCTTTACGTGCTTTGGAAGTTTACTGACTGAAAAATTAAATTATTTTTTAATTCCTTTTCTGAAAAGTTTCTTAAGAACTTACTCCACTTTTTGGATTTGACTCTCAAACTTTGTTTTGAAATTTTCGTCATTTTAGAAACTTTCTGATCCTTACTCAGAGAGCTGAAACACAAAACTGAGACGCACAATTTGTAAAGGCTAGTTTAGAGCATGTATTCTTATCGATCCTCAAATAATTGTTCAATAAACAAAAGAGAAAGTAAAAGAAGCATCACGTATTGTTTCATGACTCATTTTTTTATTTATCAAAAAAACTTCAAATGAGATTAGATATGTTTATATTTGATCTATAACACATTCAGTGTAAGAGAGAATGTTAATAACTAGTAAGAGAGATTTTTTTGCGAATGATAGTGGAAATTCCCAAGATTTAATATTTAAATTGAAAATTGTTGATCCATTTTTGGTGATTAAATAAATATTCTCATGACAATGAGATGCAAATCGCTGTAAATTACGACTGAGTGACTTCTTAATTTATAGTTATAGATTTCAGAAATTTAGAGATTCTTAATGTCTTTTCTTAATTGTAAACTTCATACTTAAATGATTCCACAAACATTCCTTAATTTTAGCTTACTTCAGCGACTCCAAATGCCGAAATGAAAACATTGACAATAGTAATCAAAAGTATTCCAATTGTTATCAAATTATTAATCTTATCAGCTTTACAAATATCATCTTTGTTTTTCACATTGTATCGACTGTTTAGCACCAGACCTATCCCAACAACGACTTGCATGACGAGACTGGCAATAATGAAAGTGAGACTAAAAAGGTAGTAAGAATGACGACTTCGAAGTTCAAGGACGTATCTTAGTTGATTTGCATTGGAACTAAGTAAAGCTAAGTCCATCATTCCTTGAGCTAGTGTCTTCTTGTGTTGATAGACGTTAATGTCTGGTAGAATACGTGGGATTGTCTCGCCTGGGAATAACTGAAATGTCAAGAAGAAAGATATTAATTTTAATATTAAGACTTGATTTTATATTGGTAAGCAGTAGGAAGCAGATAGATAATTGATGATACCTGTGAATAATAGGTCTTCCGGGAAGGTTTTAAAATGAATAGAATAAGTTAACTACAAACTATCAAATTATATAAATTAAAAGCTATACGTACAACATCAGATCCTCCATATCCAGGCGGTACTTTTGGAAATGGTGGTAGAGAACCTCGCCTAGATCCTCCTCCATTTGGATACGGCATTCTGGTTTTCGGTCCGTCAATGTCATTTTCAGATCCTTCAAAAAAACTGTCATCAATTCCATGAGATGGTTTACTAAAGTCTACATTATTATTATCGTCGTCATCATCTATTTCTGGACCTGCAATAGATTTATTTGAATAAATTTATATACCTAAAAAAACATAAATCCTAAAACTAAAATCTTTAGAAGTATTGAAGCTCCCATAAAATAACTACACTTTTTTGATGTACATAAAATATTTCTTTGTTGCCTGTGAGGAACTACCAATTACACTGTTTTTTCCATTCAATTGTTACAATTGTAATAAAGCTCCTAATTAACGCTTTACAGCACTTTAAATTAATTAGAAGCACCATAAAATCAATTTTTTACCTCTATCAGGAGGCTTTTGTCTCGGAAGTGCATCTTCTGGAATGAACGGACTTACATCTCTCGTCGCTAAATCAATTTCACGTTTTGTTCGATTAGCCTGTGGATAAAAGCAATGAAAAATGCATTGTCGTGAATTGTTTAGCATTCAATTGAATTTTATACATAATTGGAAAAGATTATAAGCGAGTGACTATCGAGTGAATATCGATTGCCGGTAAATTACGTTTGAATGAAGCTTGACATGAAAGGGTTTGTGATTCATTTTGATTGTTTTCGAATGAAGCTATGTTGTTGACTTAGGTTAGTACTTTCAACGAAAGAGTAGAATTTTAAACGGATGTATGCATTGAAATGAGTCATTTTTCATTCAACATTTGGAGAATCTAGCTAAACGTCATGAGCGAACGAACCCAGATTCTTATTCATTAATTATTGTTTTTAATAATTCAATCTCCAAGCTAATGCATGCATCAAAAATTTCAAAAATATTAGAAAAGTAATATCCAGTTCATGAATATTGGGTTTATAACTTCAAAATTACCATATCCTATAAAAGTGTGATTATTTTCCTTACTATGCAAATTTTTTTACATTTTAATTTCTACCGTCATCCAAGCATTGCTATTCGATGTAACTGTACATTTTGCTAATGCTCAAAAGAAGAATGAGTGTACTAAGTTGCCGCATAGGCTTAGACTTACTCTTTAGATAAAAGTCATAAGTGGTTGAACTCTAAGAGATTCTTATTAAATTGCTTTAATTAAATCATAACTTGGCTTAAACTTCAAATTTCATACTTAAGCCGCAAAAGACCCCTAACCAAGCAGCTGCCAAGCAGATAATTACATTTTTAAGATAAGCTTAATAAAAATTAAATTATTTCAAAATTATCTACTCAAATCACATCATTCATCATAATTCAGCTATTGATTACTTACGGAAGACGATCTGCTTCTTGAGCTGCTTCTTTTCTTACTTCTACTTCGACTTCTCCCTCGTCCATTAATCTCTGTCAAATTTGCTGTAGGAACTTCCTTATCGTTAAGTGCTATTGTGACATGACCATTTGTAGACATTGTTAAATTCTTCACTGTTAATTACAAGCGATAATGAATTATTCATCAATGATTGCAGCTTCTTCAGAATACTTTTTGATTAAGGAGTTAATTGTGAATAGTCATTGAGGCTTCTTTATTAAAAAATTATGAAATATTCCCATCTGTTCTTTAAAGAGTCGATTTTGAAATAAGAACCGCAATTTTGTGAATTTTCTCATTCAAGGCAGCTTAAAAAATCAATAAACTTTTCATTTACATTTCTGTATTTAAATTACCAAATGACTTTCATTGAAAAGAAAGGAATAGCCATGAGTCACATAATTTTTACTCACATTGTGTATCCAACAATATCCAAAAATTTCAAATCCACATTAATTAATGTATGCAACAAGTTCATGCACAATAAGCACCGAGATTTAACACAAAAAATTTGATGCAATCGACCATTTAATGAAGTTTTATAATTTAACCGTGCACAAAAAAAATACGATGTTTGCTAAACAAGTATAAACTGCTGACTGAACAACTGACTGACGGTGAGGCAGCTTGAGCTTCTTACAACAAATATGTACACAATACAGTCATAAAATTCTCTCTGTTTATGCCGACACCGCGTTGTTCATGCACGTAATTTTATTTTTAGCTACATATATAGCTTGAGACTTGCCTTAGACATGTGTCTTAATTGTGAGAGTTGAGAGAATTGTAGGTGGAAGAACACAGCTTATTAGCATTTTATATGATTGTGTAAAAAACATACTGTTGAGCAGTCACGCACAATCTACTTAATCAATACAAATCACAAGTTATGAAGTCAGTCTTCTTAGTGAGTGGATAGGAGACTCAAATAGAAGTTGATTTTTCTCAAAAACAAAAATTGTTGTAGGATGACATCAGTTGAATTAAAATGTTTTGGAGAAGAAATAATATTGTGGTTTATTCTGTTGAATATAACATCTGCAATTATTGATCTCGAGTTTGTTGACTATTTCTATCAAGGTTATACCAAATTATACATAGAATTACATATGGATATGGGGCAATATGCACCTGATATACTCTAAAAAGTGCAACAATAGACACACCTTCTGATATGATTAAGTTAAGAAACAGTGGTGCTTAAATTGTGTTAACGCGGCACTCAAATACGCTTTGGAAGTATCTCAAGCATATAGAGAATTCATAAAATAATTCTGTGTGTCTTCAAATCTTCTAAATGGCAATAAAAGTGTACCGTGAGCCAAAAAAGTTTGAGAAACTCTGTAATAAACTGTTTCCGTCTTGAGAAGTATATAGATAATGGTTGACCCTCAAACAAAGCTAGTTTTTATTTTCGTTGGTGCTTATGTAATTAACACAACCCAGCCAGACAATCTGCAGTTCTCAATAGCAATACCTAAGCAGTACAAAAATACCTGCTAAATATATTAGCACATTACTAAGCATTCACATTGTTGGGATTTTTCAACTCAATTTTTTCCGTAATTCATGTGTTGAATGAGGTGACTGGAAAAAGGCGATCTGTCAATCAGATCGTAAAATAAAATTACAGGAAATAATGCACAACATTCATTTTTTGTTTGCGCTTCCATGCTGGAAACTTTTTTTCTTTATTCGCAATGTAAAAATGTTAATCGTTTTCACATTCAAAGGTTCATATCAGGAATTTCAAAGGCACTAAGCATAATGTTAATAGCGGTGATTATAAAAATCAAAGTTGTTATCCAATTGTTAATTCTGTTAGCTTTGCAAACCTCGTCTCTTTCTTTCACATCGTAACGCGAATTAAGAATGAGAAAAACGCCAACGACAATTTGCAAAATTATACTGGCAATGACAAGTGTTATGCTGATGAAGAAGAATGGATTTTTGTCGAAAGTGCTAATAATGTGACGCAGTTGATTGACATTTGTGACTAAGAGTGCAACATCCATCATTCCAGTGCCTGCAGTTTTTTTATTTTGGTAAACATTCAAGTCTGGCAAGATTCTCATGTCTGATTCGTCATGCTGATTTTCATCAATTGGAATCTTTAAGTAATTTTAATTCAATCAAAAGAGTTTAATGCATAAATTTGAAAACTTACAGAACTTTCTGGATCTTTTGTGTCACCCATGTCTATGGGCTGCCCATCATTGTCGAGCAATGGCTCATGGATTTGCGCTTTTGTCTTAGTTCCAAGGTCTTCCTATATTATTTTTAAATACTGTAATTAAACGTTTTCAAATACAAACTTTACATTTTCTGGTGCTTACTGAAGTTGAACTTTTTACGGCTGTCTCGAGCGTATTCGATGACCCTCCTTCCATGCTTGTTTTTTGAGAGTTTCCTATAGAATAATATTGCGTTAAAAAATCTTCTTATTCTTGATGGCATGTCATGAATTTGATGAAGCTAGAATGTTATCAATGGAAGATGGATATGAACTGGACATGAGGTAGAAAAATGAGCAAAATTTACTTAAAATCTTTATTTTGATTTAAATTGCACTTTATTTATTTTAGCACTTCTGATATCTCACATAAACTTAAAGTAACTGACAGTAAACAACGAATTTGACTCGATTAAAATGCTAGAGCTACTTCGCACCTTGGACTGATTGCCATATTTAATAGTAAAAAAAATTCACTCGAATTAGGAATTCTCTCAATTTAACATTTAATTTAAGTAACTTTAATGTTCACATAAAAACATTTTATAAATTTAATTAGTATTAGTATAAAAACAGCATAAATGAAATGCTGAGAGGCAGCCTCTCATTGTGGCGAAGATACCCCGAAAGCAGATGTAAAAACATTAATAATAGTTATGAATAAGATTCCCATTGTAATAAAGTTATTGATGCGATCAGCGTTTGCATACTCTTGTTCATTATCAATATTGTAGCGACTCTTAAAGACAAGGGCAATGGCAACAAGAACTTGTAGCACTAAACTTGAACTTATGCATGATAGGCTGATATAGTAATAATGATTTCTCTCCTTATAATCTAAAATGTATCGAAGTTGATTAGCATTGGAAGAAAGTAAGGCAAGATCAAGCATTCCTTGAGCAATTGTTTTCTTCTGTTGATAAAGATTCAAACTTGGTATATTAGAGACATCAGCTTCTGGTGGATAACTCGATGGCCATTGTGGGAAGTAACCGGATGGAACAACTCTTGGTTTTTTATCATTGAACAAAGGTCCATCATCAATTCCAGGAACATCTAAAAAAGGTTTTGTATCTCCTCCATCCACTTGATCGGATTCATCTCTATCGTCAAAAGATTCATATTCTATAGATGAAAAATATTGTTTTTAATTTTTAAAGAGGAGATTTTGATTTTTTTGTTCACTAATGTCGTCCAACATTTAAATGAAGTTAGTCTGGGATATTGGTGTATTCAGAATTATTGAACGGGATCAACACCTCACATTTGTCTGAATTTGTTTGATATTAAATTGCCACATTAAATCAACAAGCGGAAGCAGAGCTTAATGTCGGTTCAGAGTTCACCAAAGTCAGTCAAAGTTTGTATGAAAAGATCGGATACGTTCGATTTGATTTCTATAAAATTCAAAACAACTTCTAGTACTAAGCGGGGGTCCTCAGACTTTATTTCCTGGTATACGTCATTTGTGAACAATCCCTATAAAGAAATAAAGCAGACTCTCACTTGCAATTGGCGGAATTCTTTTCTCAAGTTTAATGTTCTCGTTTTGAACCGTGAATTTAACATTTGCTTCTGTGGTCATGTTGTTAAATATCTTCTCAAATAATCAATACAGAGATTAGATGTATACAACTATAATTCTGTGCTGACGTATTTTCCTAATTATTACATTAAACCGGTTAGTAAATTCCAATTATAATTGTGTAATAAGTTGCATTTAATTGATAACAACAGAATCAATTGTTTTTATTTTCACAAGATGATCTCTGACAATTAAAGTTTATACTTTTAAATTCACTCCATAAATATTTTATATTCTTCTCTTTTCGGCAGAAACTAAACTGAACAGAGATCTATCCACTAGAAAAGATTTTTGAATACTGCGAGAGAAAAAGTTATGAAAAAAATATTTTATACATTCTTCTTAAATTACTCTCATTCGATATTCTCAAGGTTTACGACACAAAATGCGAGCTCAGAACAAAATATATTCGCGATCATCTGCTGATGTTAAGTTTTAGAAGCTGTGGTTATACTTGCGGGTTACATATATTGTTGATACTTAAAGGGCTATTAAAGTTATTATTCCATGTCATAATGCATTAAGGCTACAACTTCAATGAGCCCAAATAATTAAAATAAACACTAAATACTTTAACAGCAAACTTTATTATACAATACAAATAATGAAATTTACTATTGTACCATTATGGTACAGATTAGGTTTGGGCAGATCCAAAAGCTGACATGAAAACATTGATAATTGTAATGAACAGAATTCCTAATGATATAAAGTTATCAAACCGTGCTTTCCTCTCAAAATTTTTCTGTTGAGTTTCTTCATCCATTGCTTCACCATAATAATATCTCTTAAGCACTTTGAACTTAAGGATAAAAGCTACAGCAACGATTACTTGAAGAATTATACTTAAGGAAATACATGCGATACTGACATAAAAGTAATTGTTTCTTTCCTTATACTCTAAAATGAGACGAAGTTGATGCGCATTAGATGATAGCAGAGCTAGATCAAGCATTCCTTGAGCCATTGCTTTCTTATGCTTATATTTGTCTTGTGCCTTCTCGGCACTTTTATTTCGACGTTTTCCTAACCGAGCTTCATTATCTAAAATTGCAATAGGAGCTGCATCAATTTGATCTACGTCTATTCTTTGAATTACATCTTCACGTTCCGCTGATTCCACTAATTTAATTACAATTTTAAAAAGAGATTTAATGAAAACTTTGAGAAATTTCAATTATTTTATAATATTTATATTACTGATTACTGCTTGTGTCATGAATAAGATTTCCTGAAAGAAATAAATAGCAAATTAGGTAAATCGGGTAAATCGGTTAAATCTTTATAAATAAATTGAACTATCAGAATGTTTATTGATATTAATTTATTTAAAATCATATTATTAATTAAGAAAATTCTTATTTCATAGATAAACTAATTATACTTACAATAGACATACATCTAAAACTTTCTTCTTATTAATAGAATTGGAAAGCTTAATTAATTCACAAATCAAATCACACAAAAAACAGACGAATTATTTGTTTACAGATCGTAAACAAAAATAAACTTTGAATATTCATAGACTGTTGAAGATCTCTAGAATGTTAATAACTGGTAAAGTTTATGCTATAAAAGAATTAAAAAATGCCAGACTTTTAAAATTATTGAATTTTATTATTTATTTGAACATTTCATTCATTATTAAAACAACTTAAGCAAAAGTAAATCCAAAATCAATGACTCAAAATTATTATGAATCAAAAGACAAATTAATTAAGATTAGGATTAGACTGTGGAAGAAATACTGCAAAGAGATATCAAAATATTATTAACAGTCATTACGATGATCAAAATTGTAATATATTCGTTAAGATAAGAAGCTTTTGCATATTCATATAGATTGTTAAGGTTGAAACGACACTTGTAAATGATTGAATTGAGGGCAATAAACTGCAAGATTATATTGAAACCTAAGTAGGGAACGACAAATTGAAAATATTTATACTGTTCGCTGTGAGCAACGATGTTACGCATTTGAATAACATTTGACGAAAACAAAGCAAAGACAAGCAATCCCAAACCAATTGTCTTTCTCTTCAGATACATATCCATTGTGTCAATATCCTCAGAATTCCATACATTTTCTTCATCTGGCTCGTTATTTTCAACTCTCATTCGAATAATGCAGCCTATAAATAATACAAAAAATTAATAAATTTAAAAATTGTAATTCAGTCAAAACTTACGAGTTAAAAATGCCCAAACTCTTGCCAAAATGTTTCGTTGATCTGGTTTTTTGTCAGAAAAAAGTAAGTAAGTTTGCTCATTATGTTTATCTGATACATTTAAATATCTTTGAGACTGCATTGTGTATGTTGAACCTGTATCTCCTGAATAAACTGATGATGAAACATTTGATGATCCTGATTCAGACATTTTTAATAAAATCTTGCTGTTTAGTTCTTCTGATAATTAAATCAAATCTTGAATTTTGAGTTAAGATTTTTATTTTAAGGTTGACTTTTTGATTCAAAGTTTGAAGTAGTAATGAATTTAATATTTTAGGATAAAAAGATTTAAAATATCATAAAGAAGTTTCAAAAAGTTTTTATTTACTTTGAAAACTTTTAAGTTTGTGGTCTTTGTTAACTATTCCTAATCTTAACTTATCCCTATTGTTGACAAATGAGTTTTCAAAATTCCTTTTTCTTAAATTTGTTGATTTTTTATTGCTGCATTTAATATTGACGTCATTTGTGATCTCAATTTGCATTCAAAGTTAAATGAAAAATAAAAATAAAATTAGTCATTATCCTTATTTAACAATTGGTCGTGCTTCACAGGTTGCATACATCTAAGATGGTTTCCAGTAACAATCTTAATTTGAATTTATTCGTTCAATGAATGCAGTGATATTCTCTCATCCAGTTCCAAACTCATGAACTTTTCAGAATATGAAAAAATTTAAGTTAAAATAAGAGAAAAACTTTCTTTTTTCGAGTGTATTTATACAAGAACTTTTTAAATTTCATTGATAGATGCAAACATGATCAATGGCTTGCAAATATCAACATCAATACATACAGGAAGACAATTTTTTTTAAAAATATATTGATTTTTATTGCAAATTTGATTTACAACTTGAATAGTTCGTAAGAAGTCTGAATTAATTCATATATCACTGCGTCTGTGAATTAATTCATTCAGAAAGAGAAATTTGTAGCTTACAAGTCATAACAATTGATTCCGGTAATTGTTGTGGCCTGAAAGAATTTGTTCAAAATTATTGTAATTTTTCCCGACCAGCATTAATGTTCTTTTTTTGAGTTGCACGAGTTTATTTTTCTTCCAAGTTTGTATACATCAATTTTCAGACTATAAAACGTTTTTGAGTCACATGTGATCATCTTTAAATCAAGCAATTGGCATAAGATCCCTTGGATTTTCAATCAAGGCTGTTTAAAATTAAACAAGTTCTTAAGAGTTTATTCTAAAGTTGGTAAAGTCGATGTTTTTATTTAATTATCTTACATTAATGTAAGTTAGTGATTTATGTATCAGATATGATTAAGATAGTTTATTGTCAATAAAAATATTCAATCTTAGGACAAAATTGAAAAAAGAAATGACTTCGTAGAATATCCCAACAAATATTATCAAAAACTAAAATTCTTCGAAATTCAGACTGCATTCTCCAATTCTACAGTAGATATTAAGGTATCAATAATAGCATCTTCAAAAACAATCTGTTTTAATACCTGCAAGAAGGAAATGCTTGAATATGATTCATAAAATTTGCGAGTCAATAAATTTCGAACATAAAATCTACGAGAGTTCTAATAGACAATTCTTCAAGATGTCAAAAATTTAAAAGATGCATTAAGTTAGGTTTATAACATGTCATGAATCAAATCAAATTTGAATTTGGCGCCAAAAATCTTAATCTTCTTTCTCTTAGATGTTTTCCATGCCGACAATTTGAAATTTCCGACTATGTCGCTGTAAAAATTTAAACTTACAGATTGCAAGAGAAAATGTAAACTATCAAAGAACTCACGATTCAGCAGTTGAGAACCTCAATTCTAAATTCGTTATTGGAAATTGAAAGTTGTGGATTCAATAAGCATGAAAGTTCATGAAACAAAACTTTGCTTTCTCGAAGTCTCGTTCTCAATTAATCTTCAAGTTTTTTCCACAATAAAAGTTTTAAAAATTCTCGGAAAGTCTCGTTCTCGACACCGATGAGATTTAATATGAGCAGCAAAGTAAGTACTTCTAATGAGAGATTAATGAACTTTGAGTAGCAAAATTAAGATTAAATATTTATGCCACACAACATTCAGGTCATTAGTTTCTTCAGTAGACATATCAAAAACTAGCAAGTATCAGTTGCTATATGACTCAATATGACCTCTCAATAATGCATGCAAAAATGACATCATATGTAAATTTATGCTGTATAAATTTTATGGCGAGACAAATTTCCAAGATTTATACTTTTTCATCTCAAAGAAGATACAAACTGGCTACAATTTAAAAGTTTATAAACAATAAAAAAGTGTAGAATTAGTTCTAATTGAATTCACAAGAATGACGAGACAGTAAAAATTATGACAACTCGATTCCTAGAAGTGTTAATTTAATTAAGTTGCGTTGAGAATCAGACTTTTATCATAAATATATGATGATCACGGGAAATCGGGATGCACATGGTGACAAAAGGCAGACACTAACGAATTCATAGTCGAAAATAATTCATAAGATTTTAAAATCACAAGATATCACAAAAAGCATGTAATTCATGTCACCTGAATCGGAAAGGTTGATAAATAAATAAAACATTCGCATTTTTTAAATTTAGTTTATATAAATTTTTCATTTATTCAAATTATTTTACCTTACAAAAGAATCTTAAAAGATAATTTTTAAGTCATTTAATATGAGTTGCTTTAAAATAAAAGGAAGTTGTCTCTCTTTTGATAATCTACGAAATTAAAATACATGAAAATTCGATCTTGGTGTTTAATACAATCCAATAAATTAAGGAAGACATCAATTTTTATTTTATAAGTATATGAAGATGATCACATCAGCCACTTTAGCTGTGTTGATGCAAAATTATTAAAATTTATGATTAAAAATGTTAAATAGAATTTTTTTTATGAAATTTGAAATACATATTTTTAGTTTACGTAAGCATTCATTACCCTCAATTCTTTATTGGTTCCTTTGCTGTGACTTAATTTCATTAGGAACTCGAATTTTAATGTTTTGATTTGAGAATTAAATCTTATGTTTAAAAAATATGATTTTCAGATTAAGGGTCATTACTACTTTTGTCGTTACTTTAATGATGTGTAAAAGTGATAATTTTTGATAAATGTCATTTATTAATGATCCCTTAAGGATTTTTGACAAATGAAGTCTATCATTAAATTAAATTTTGAACCTCCTTTCTTAAAATTAAGTTTATTACTTAAAATCTAGACCAAATGTTCAAAATTGATTGCGAGACAGTTGATCAGTTCCATACTTTTTCACAGGATTCTATATGACGCGTTAAAAATTAAACGTCATTTATAAAATCTCCCATATTGCAAATTATGTTAAAAACTTATCATCTACTAATGGAATTTTAATTACTAATGGAATGATTTTAAGTAAGTACTAAAACAGGCTAAGACATTGAGTTACCCAGAAGAATAAGGCAGTTGCATAAGGATAAGATAATATTGGACGGACGCATTTGGCGCCAAAAACTATCGCAACGCCACTAAAATTAGGTCTTAACTTAATTGCAAATTTGATCTATTTTGTATAAAATTCTAGATGAACCTCATTTGTCTTAGCCTTATTATGATATGAATGCATAAAATTATAAATGAATCAGCCTTAAAAATACAGTAGGTAAAATTTATCTAAAAAATTCTTATATACTTGCATGGAACTAGCTTTTCATTATGTAAATTTATAGACTAAAAAATACTGAATTGAGTTTTTCATTTTTGATTAGCTGCCAAAGTTTGTTTTTTGATTGTGCTACTCATATCTGTGTGAGGATGTTCAATTATAAATCTCAAACATCCTCAACAACCTTAAAATGTATGTTAGTGACATGAATATCGACTACATATATCTCTATTAGCTTGTGAGCAGCAATAATCAATTGGAATATCTTTTGAAGCGTCTCGCTTGTTTCTGAACGTTTTGTGATTGCTTTTATGATTGAAATTGCTGTCCATTCCGCTGGAAAAGACATCATTATCTTCATTAGAGTTGTCACGAATTGTGTTAAGTCTTTCATTGTATGGCTCTAAGTCTGGAATCTCATTGATAGTTGCATCATCATAAAGATCATCATTTCTCTTTTTGTGGCTCAAATGATGAATGTGCTTGTCACGTATGCGCAAATATCCACCGCTGGGGAAGCCCTCATGTGTTAATTTTTTATAATGACGAACGTAGTGATGTTTGGCTGTGGAAAGAGAGGTACGGAAAAAAAAATCAATCAGGAAGAGAATTTTAAAAACTCGTCACATATTTGGAATTTTCGATAAGATAAGAAGCATATGACTATTTCTATTCAGCTAATACGCTAAGCACATATCGGAAGTAAAGAATGTAAATTTGAAAGACCACAAAGTGACTGGTTGGTGATAAAAGTATGTTCAAACAAAGACAAGAAGTTGACAAAAAATAATGTTATTTATTTTTTGCGCGTCAGATTTGTGTGCATGGCTTATGACAATGAATATATCACGTTAGTGATCTTGAACTTGATCGAAAGTATGTAAAAAAAAAATATCAAAACTTTTTGCCGTTATTGCATAGAGAATAAATAACGAGTTCAATAGAATTAGAGGACAGACGATACAATTAAGCTAGTGACCGATGCGTCAGCACGTAATTGGTGTCCTTTGCTTGCTTTCTTGATCTCTCTATTTGTATATGCCCATAAAAAATAATTTACACGGCAATTAACTGACATAACATTTCATGATTATTGGAAATGTTGTATAATACATGTGGGAATGTACAGGCAGGCGCTACGCTACTATCTAATAAAAAATTCACGTGCTTTTAAGTTCGTTTCCACGAAATAATTTACGTTCAGTCAATGTTCTATGCTTTACTCAGAATTCGTATCGGAAATACCTTTATGTCGTCGCATGACTAAGGTAGCATTAACCTGTAGACTGTCTAACATTTTTGCCGAATAAAAAGCATGGAAATTATCATGCAGAGTTAAACTCCGCCCAATTATGCACCTTAGGCACCTATAAAGAGCGACATTCCTACTTCTTCTTCCTATTTTCTCAGTTCATCTCCCTCGCTATTCACAGCAGCATAAGAATTATTGCGAACTTCTTTTGGAATTTCTTCTCTACGTGCAGCATTTCCTTTTTATTTAGTCTACCTTTAAAATTCTCATGAAAGTGAAATGAATATGCTTGAAGAAATTTTATTTTATCTCCTTTACATTCATTGAAGTCTTTTTTGGCTAGTTCTGAATTTTATTTTAATGTGCTGTCTAGATGTTGGCCGTTTGGAAATTATAATATGTAAATTTATGGCTGGGAATTAGTAGAAGTTGTAAATTAATATCGACTAATGATTTATTTTTCACTAATTTTGAGAGAGGGAGGGGGGTCATGTCTTCTAAAACTTGTGATTTTTTTTCCAATTTTTATGTTAAGCAAGAAAATTTACATTTGATGCCAATTGAGTAAATTCCAAAAAAAGCTCCAAAAATTCAAAATTTCATATTCAAAGAAAATTTTATTCGACAATTTTTCAACATGTTACCCCCCTACCAGTTGCACTAATAAAAGGGTTGATTTCCCCTTTAAAACACAAGCAATACAAGTCAACAAGTCTGTCAATTTCCAGACAGCAATTCTTTAGAATGAGAGAGAGAAAATTTTACTCACCAAAAATGTCATCGACCTGATAAATGTTATGGAGGGCACTTCTTTTGTGAATGTGGTTGCAGGCATCGACTGCATAATCCCTTAATAAATCTGAATCACATTCACAATTTGAATAGGTGATACAAATTATAACAAGTACGGCGAATAATAAAGAGTGGATCTGTGGGGTTAAAATAGAAATCGGAAATTAAAAATCAAAAATGTGCAAAAACACGTTTTTTTTTCTTTTAAATTCTTAGACACGTTGTTGCTAAGGGGATGTGTGAAGAAATGCGTTCTTATATGGGTCATGGTAGTTTCTTTAGAAATTGACCAAACAATGCTTAAGATGAAAATTTACGATGAGTAATACATCAATTATTTCGTAAATGCCGAAATTTCACGCGAATCTCGAAAGAAAACAATTCCCGCGAATTAATTTCATAATTTTATGCTACACATGAGTCATACGCTCAATAATTGTAGCATGCACGAAAGAAGAGATTCTCTTTAGATGTTGATTATTCACACAATTATTACCACATAATATTATTTAATTAAATTAAATATTTCTTCCTTATTGACATCTTTAGCAACAACAATAAAACATTTATTTTTAGATCGGATGTAGATGAAGACATTCATCACACAATAATTATTTCTATTTGTCTTTAAATCAATCAATTTTTTTTTTCTTTTTACCTTAGCCATATTTGTACTTCACGTAATAAACTATGATATTATTAACTTCAGATCTTAATGTGATTTATTTTTTAATTCCTTTAAAATTAAATTGTTCTTTGTTTTCTTTTCTTCACACTTCCTTCCTTGATCGGAAGAATTCTCTCTTTTTTTTATTCCTTAAAAACTGACAATGTTATCCGCACAAAATATGAAAAGAATTGTGCGACTTTGCTTGCTTAACGATCTATAGTAAAATGTATATGTTTCTGTCTTTATACTGTTTTTATATGAAAAGATACGAGTTGATTCTTTTGGAACAAAAAAATTGAGTTTGACTCTCTGAGAGTCTTAAGATCATATATGAGATAAGTCAAAAGTACTTGTATAGATTTTCATTTAAAAAGAGAATATGCTTAATAGTTTCAATAGTTTATAAACTAGTGCGTTGTGCGTGAATATTTTTCCTTATTTTTTACTATTTTAACATAAAACAGTCGCTTTTTTGCATGAATGCATATTACTGGAGATTCTAGATTTAATAACAAACCAAAGAAATGACACCCATGTCCTTTGTTGCTTTATATAGTCTCAATACTGTCCTAATTTATTTAGAGCAGAGTTTCAACGAAAACCTTTACATCAGTGTTTTGTTAACTTATTTGATTAGTGGCATACTGGATAGGGGCCATTCACTTATTACGTAACGCTTTTAGGGGGAGGGGGGGCTAAGATTCTGTTACGATTCAAACAAGGAAATTTATTTTTCATACAAATTTTGTTACGAGGGGGGGGGGGGTCTAAGAAGTCATTTTTTCGCGTTACGTAATAAGTGAACAGCCCCATACCATTTTAAAGATTCTATGAAACAAATTCCGAAGAAAACTCTAAGCTTAACTCTAAATAATTCAATTGAGCTTTAATTTCCTTTTTAATTTGCTAGAATTTTTTTAAAAGAAAATCTTAAACATTAACCTTTTTCACTATTTCAAACCAAATCAACCCCTTTTCTAGCAAATCTTAAACATTTTTCATTAAGAACAACTTAATAAAAATTGAGTTTGTTTAAATCGAGAATCACCGAGTAATTTGAAAATTTTCGTTTAAAAAATTTCAAATGATACTTACCTGATTCTGACTTAAAGATTGAAAAATACCAACAATTCTTGAACATCTCGTTGAATTTTATTGGGAAATATCCAATCTTTGTGCTTAATGTAAACCAAACATTTTGCTCCTCAATTCAACTTCTTACAAAAAAGAAATTCCTCAATTCTAGCAATTTCAATTGATTTGCATAGAGCTTTAATGTGAAAATCAGTCCATAGCTATTTGGCTGGATTATAAGTTTAAATTGTAGACCATGCATTATGAAACTCCTTTTCATTTTAATTAATTCCTGAAAAATTCAAATATTAACTTCAAGTCGAGATATGGACAAAGTGACAACAAAAATGATCTGGAATGGAAAGGTGTAAAAGCTGTGTCTCTTATCAACTTTTTGTCTCTACTATAATTTGAAGTTTTTAACGGCAATTGAAAATTTGAAATTTTTTAAGTCGTGACACTTCATTTAAAATTCGAGACATTTAATGGAAACGAGGTAATTTTAAATCTATAGTTTTACCTTTTGCAGATGAATTTGTCTAGTTTATGTCCTGACTTTTAATTGCTATCAAAAGAGCTTTTCAGTAAGCTTTAAATTTTTACAACTTTAATATTATCCGTGATTGTCAAGTTAGATTTTTAAAATCTTATTTCTTATCACTATCTTGTCGGCAACTTCTGATTAATAAAACTTAAATGAATTTATCTGAGTTTACATGTAATAAAGAAATTCAAGTTTGAAAATTCGGTTGATGATTTATTGAGCAGCTTGAGAAGAAATTTTAATTTTTCAAATCATTAGAATGACCATGAAAATTTTATAAATATAGGAAGCATATATACTGATTAAAGTGTAAATTTGAGTCATGAAAGGAAATTTTGAAATTAACGGCAATTTAAATGAAAATAATTCTGGATCAAGTTTTAAAAATTATATTCGAGACAACATATAGTCTTTAAGACATCATTATTCTTGCCTCTTCCTCATAAATCCTTCTGAAATTGAAATCTACGTTGAAAATCTTATTTTCAAAAATATCAGATTCATTGACTATTCATTTTTTAAACTCTTCAATTTAAAAAATTTAATATTCTATTGATCGAAGATCATGATTAATCTTCTTGATCATTACCGAATCGATAGTCCATATTACATTATTGACAATCCTAATCTCAGGATTAAACAAAGTGATCTTTAAGTTATTGCATCAAGTTTTATTATCCATCGAACAACCAAGATTAGATATTTGTGTAATCATTATATTGATCTTGATCTCGATCATCAAAATCTGAAACATCAAAACCTTAAATCAATTCATTAATTAAACCAAATAATTCTTATAAGTTTGTAATCTTCATTATATAAACTTTTAAAGTTGATTTCTTTAGTTTTAAGTCACCTGTATATTACGAATTCCAAGCATCAGTCATGAAGAAACAAAATATGAATGTAAATAAAACATTAGTTCTCCAATTTGAAATGCAATTGTGTTTTTTTTTTATTGTTGAGAAATCAGAAAGTGATTGGAAGATGTGACACAAGAAATTTTTAACTCCATAAATAAGTTCTCAGGTTTTGCAAACTGTCTCTAAACGTGAGCATTCCCTAAACAAATCAAAAGTTTTGATAAATTGCAAAACATCCAGAGAAATGCAAAAACTTATGACAATCAATGGAATGTCAAATACATGAGAATATGTTGTTATTGACAAAGATTAGGAAGAATGTTCTATGTTTTTGTTTTAAAGAGCTGGCGCTGATCTAATGGACTTAACGAATTCTAAAAATGCTGTTTCTTAGAATTATACAAAGACGAAGATAATAAAATCAATTTCTTTCTTAGAAATTGTGATCAAAACAAGGCGGAAATTTCCGTTTTAGAAATAAAATGCCTGTGTCTGGCAGTCTGTATACTGCGATAAAGGATCTTTCATAAATATCGTCCAATTTTTAAAATAAAGGTAGTTTTTAATATTTCAACTTTGAATGCTGTTAAGAAAAAAATCAAAAATATTAAACAATTTACAAAGTAAATTATTAAAAGTAGCTTGAGTTAACAATACTGGAACCATCTTTACAACCAGATTGTCAAGCAGTTCAATAATAAATAAACGTAGCATAATCATAACGGTTTCTTTAAATTCAAATTGTTGATGTGTAAAATCCGAAGATCAAAATAAAAGACTCAATTCATATTTTAAGACTAATATTAGAGTTTTAATTTTTATATTTGAGTAAGAACTTAAAAACTATTGAAGAACCGTAATAATAGAAAAGTTAAGACCCACAAGTGTATTACTTGAAATTTACCAACGTTGAAAATATATTTGAAAATGTTCTACCCGAGGCTCATCAACTTCAAAATATAATTCTTAGTGGTTCTGTCACATCAGAATTATTGCAATGTTCATCAAAATCTCAAATCTCAACCAAAATCCTAAATTCATGGCATCATAAAATAATTCATTAAATTCTCTTCAATCGCAAGCAGCTTGCGCAAAACAAATTTCGAAGTTGATAGACCTTGGTTCTACCTGTTTACCAGATTGTTTACTTTTTTTGAAGTGCAGTTTTTCCTCACATTAGAATTATTAATTGAAGTAATGAGCACAGCAAATGTTGGAAACTTAATCTTGTCAATAACTCTTGGATTTTTCATTTATCACGTTTTGTTTTGCATTCAACCATTTTTCAGACTAGAAGAAGGTAAATAAAGTTTGTTCTATAAAAAAATATTGATGATTAACTTATGTAAACAAACTTATCAATTTGTCATGTCTTTTCAGATAATTACTTCTATTCTATATTTCCTCCACTCAAGTTTGCATTTCTGATTCCATCAGTTTTTGGCATATTATTTTGTGGAAGTTTAATATTGTTCACGCTTTACCAGTTTCGGGATAATCTGTTAAGGAAAACGTCATCGACGGTTATAAAAGACGATTAATTATAACTTTACTATCGTAATCATCATCTATCTATAGACTTATTATGTACGTCAATAATCACGAGATTATTACATTTCGATAACCTTTGTGATCCTTCAGAGTTGTGTTCTCTAATTTCTGTTTAGAACATCTGTCAAACTGATAAAACATCCAGGAAAATATCAAATAAAGAAATTGGAGTAGCAACTCTGATGTTTTTCACACAAATACCCACGATTTATTTAATTCAAGTAAACAACCTTCTTTATTCTAATTCATCTATTGTAGTTTAATCAAGGAAGTCAAGTCAGGCAGGCTGAAAATGGAACAGTGGATGATAGTTGGAATTTCTGGTGTAACATGCGGAGGAAAGACAACTTTGGCTAATAATTTATACAATCACTTTAAAGACAAGTGTGGACATGAAATTAAGACTGGCGTAGATTTAAATCGTGTTGAATTAATTAAGCAAGATGACTACTTTCGTCTAGAAGATGATCCAAATCATACAAAAATTGAGCAACTTAGTCACATAAATTGGGAAATAATCGAAAGTATTGACACTGACCGAATGATCACAGACATAATGAAAATTCTTGGAAAGAAATTCACAATATACAATACAAGATCGACACTTACACATATGGACAGTGAAAATCTATTTGCAAATCATTACGCAGCAAATTATAGCTCATTAAACTATAATAATGATCTAATGAAATCCGATGACGACAATACAAAGTTTAAACACATCAAACATAATAATGTGTTAAACATTCTAATTGTTGAAGGTTTCCTCATATTGAATCATCCAGTTACGCTTGATTTGTGCAATGTTAAGTTCCATTTACATGTTCCTTACGAAATTTGCTATGAACGCCGTAAAAGTAGAGTGTATGAACCGCCAGATGTTTTGGGTTTGTATTCCTTTCTAAAATTTTACATTTCTTGCGCAGTTTTTGGAATTTGAAGTTGTTCATTTTGTCTTTGATCTGAATTTCAGTTATATTTTATTTTGAATTCAAATTTTATAGCACAAAATATTTATTTCCTATAAAATTCAAATTCAAAGAAACCGTTAATATTTCAAATTTTGATAAACCGTTAAAATGTACACTGAATTCCAAAAAAGCCACATTGATTGCAAAAATGCGCTAATATCGACTGTGATTCTATAACTCATGATAATTTACAATCGGACTAAATCTCCCCAATAAATTTATTTCTTTGGCAGGCTATTTCGAGATGATTGTATGGCCAGAATACGAGAAACACCTGAAAAGCTTTAAAGATCGAGAAGATGTAGTGTTTCTAAATGGCGAAGCAACACCCGAAAAATGTTTTCAGTATGTCTTAAAATCTCTCTTGGAAGAACTGTAATTGGATGGGGGCTATAATTAATTATGCAAAGAAGAAAAAAAATCATATTAATTAAGGATCAGAGTTGTTGTTGTAGATTTTTTCATATTTGCATGTCAGATTGGCTTAAAATTGGGTGACGGAGCATATTTTTTGGTGTCAGTAATACCTGAATGTCGAATAGATCTAGATTAAAAATTTGCGAATATAAATGGAGCAAGTTGAGTGGGTTGAAATGGACTTAAATTTATATTTTCTGATGAATGTAAACAGATTAATCTAAATTAACAACATTCAATTTGAAACACAGTAATTTAGCACTAATCTTCTACAGATCGGAAATAACACTGATTAATGATAATCGTTAGATTCAAGGATGAATTTTAAATTTGCAAACTCTACGGGGAATCAAATGAAATCGCACATGAATCTCAAAATAATATTTATATGATGATATGTGATACTTTATTTTGTATGTGTTAAGAATGTTTATAAATGTAAATTTTGCTGAAATTGTTAAACTGCAATTTAAATTTTTAACGAATTTTTGAAATTCAAATATAACGGCTAAATGTTTTGAACTCTAAAGCAACGACTTTTTTGAAATTCAAACATTTTTAATGGCAAAGTAACGAACTTTTGTGCTAAAAAGCAAGTCTAATTACAGAATTTCTTAGAATTAAGTCAACTTTTAAACGGTTCCTAATCTATGCAAAAAATCTCTCATTATATTCAATATAATAAAAATACAACTCTGATTAAACCAATTAATGATAAGAACAAAAGAAATATTTCGCAAAATTTCCATCCTTTATTAAAAAACGGGTTATAAGGAATTCCATTCAAACATATTCTTTCCGTCTACGTTCAGCGAACTGAAAACAGAATTTAATCTTATTTATTCTTGTACCAAAAAAAAAAAAAAATATTTAAAATGAAATAAATTTCATATTTTTGTTAACCGAGGAGAAACTTAAGTTAGAATTAAGTCAGGTCATTTGCCTATTGCCTATATTATAAAATGTAAATTGTTTTTTTCAATAATAAAATATATAAGAACTCATAAATTGTCTATCAGCAGGCTTAATGCCAATGAAGTTTCTAAAGTCGAGTGGGGAAAAAAAGAAGAAGAATTAAAAAAATAGGAAATTAAAAATAGATAACCAGAATTAATAATAACGGCGCTTTTGACAAGCTGTTTGTATCACATTTCAATTCACCTATGCTGTATGCTGCCGTTTATTCGTTTCCTATGAACTTAAAACACTTTCTTTTGGGTCGTGATAATTCGCTGGAATCAGCATAAGCAATTCTTATTTATGAATTTTTCACGTCATAAAACTTTTAAAAACGTTAAAAAAATATTTTATGTGAAAAAATCTCGAGTTACACACGATGTGCATGAACTTGACATTGAATTACATACGTAATACGAGAGAGACTTGTTTCGCTTAATGTAACCATAATCGGGCAAAACAAAGCAGGCAGGAAAGAAGAAGAAGAAGATGACGATGGAAAAAAATGCGATGCTGCTCATTTGCATTTGCTGAGTCACGAGATTTAATATTATTACACCGATGAATATCAATAATTATGCAGTAAGTAAATCAGACATTATATTAGCACGATGTCTGGACATCTCTGCATGTATAAGTGCACCATTCTATTATCTTTAATGAATTTAATTGCATCACACTCGGTGCTGCTGTGTACTTAACGAAAAAAAGGCATGCAACATATACATTTATGTGAAATTCATGTTTGATAATGTTAACTGTGGTTGTTATCTCCTTTCCTTAAGATGTAAATTAATTACAGAACTGCATCTTCCCTCAATGCTCTTGATGGACATTTGCGTACGTTATGAATGTTCATAAATGCAGTTTCAAACCTTTTTTTATATTTTTTGAACTTTAAATAATAAATTTTTGTGTCTATTGATAACTAACGACTTGAGGGATTAAAACTATAGAAGTATAAAGCAACTCATGTAAACAGGAAGTTTATAAATCAAAATATCAAATTTTAAACTTTCTAAATTAAAAAAAACCTTATTAGCAATTCAAAATTAGCTTTCAGATCATGAAAGCAAATGGGCAAGATCAAAAATGAATTGTTCGTGACGCTTAACAATAATTTACAATTTTTGAATCAATAATGCGAAATATGTATTTAAGACTTGTGTTTTTCTTAAAGTCCTTGCCAAGACCTATATTTTGGTGTATAACAAGTATCTCTTAGACATTGTATTATAATTAAAAATTAATTTAAAGTGCTAAGCGTCACGAACAATTTTGAGGAAATTCGATTTTACACCATGTTGCAAATGTAATATCTCTGCGAATACTTCATTTATCATAACGATTTTTTCATCAGATAATTAAGTAATCAGATCATTAAAAGTTTTGTCTAAAATATACAAAATGGCGGATTTGTAAGTTAGCTTAATTCAGCTTTAAAATGTTGAAGCTGAAATTTTAATATGAAGGAAATAGTTTAGGAACTAGCTTTCTTTACAAAAAAGGTTACATATGTAATTTTTTTTAAGTTTGTGAGAGAAAATTTTCAATTCTACTATAATTAACCAAGTTATGATGAGTTTTACAAAACTAGTCATAAGTCATTGCTGTGTTATTCGTCTAATGATTTTTTCATTTCAAACTATAGAATTCAACAATGTTTATCATATTGCAAAAGAAATATTACTTTTTGTTCAAGACAAGCAGAGAAAATTAAATTATAGTAAAAAATTTGACCAAAAATTTTGTAACGGTTTTTAAAATTATAAATTTGTGAGCAAATAAGAGCAAAATTTGTTGCTCAACTTAAATTTCATTGTTTTTATAGTTAATTTAACTTACTTTTAAGCCTTTTTCGAATGTAAATTAAATAGTAAAAGACTCTTTAGATATCAAGTAATTGTTCTTGACCGATTAAGGTTAATAGTTTTGATTTAAAAATACATTTTACATTCAATTAGGTTTTCAGTTAATTTAACTAAAATAACTCATTTTTAATAAAATCTATTTTAATCATATGATAGAAAAAAGCAAGCTCTACAACTTTTGTCAAGCTTCCAAACATTTATCTTGCTTTCTTTTCAAAGAGAAATCGATTTCAAATATTAATTTGTTAATTAAACTAACTTAATAAGTCGCCATTTTGAAAAATGAATGTTAAAAAGAAACTTACTATTATTAGCTATCATGTAGTGAAGGAATCATATTAATTAAGTTATTAAAAGCAGAGAAATCTGAATTTGAATATTTATTCCCTTTTTTTCTGATCTTGCCCAAATATTAATCCTTGCAAAATAAGCTATGGCTTCACATTCAATAGATCTAAATCATTTAAATCATGAAATTTCATCAAAACTTCAAGCTTGTTTCCAAAACACTATTAAAAATTCAAACCGTGTACATAAGTAAGACGTAATAAATGCATCGAGAGCACTCAGCATCTTCCTTCTTTGCAAGAAAAAAACAGCAGAAGCAGCAAAAACAAGCAGCATGTAATATTATCAAAGAATGTACATAAATGCACAATCATCATATAGACAAGAACAAGTTCTGCTGAAATGCAATTATATAATAAAATGAAGGAATTACGCTGAAGCAAGTAAGTACGAATTCTAATTCATTATGCCTCCTCATTCGCTCATTTGCGTTTCCTTCGCTCTCGTACATCATTAATGACTATGTATCATGTGAAACTAATGAACTTTCAAAACACAAAAATAGATAAATATTTAGGTCTATATCACTAGAAAACGTAAGTAGAAAGTGCTTGATGAATCGGACAAACTAGGAAATTTTGGCAGTCGCATCGAACTGAAAATGTGCTAAAAACTTACGATATCTTCACAATGAACTTGAACTCAAAAAATGTAAAAATAAATAAATAAATAAAGTCGAATGTGTACGGCAACAGATACAAAATGCGAAAAGAGAAAATGAAAATTTATCATACATCATTTGAAACAGGAGAAACAGAAAAGAAGAGATACAATTTCAGATTCGATCGAATAAGATGAATGTAATGGTATAGAGACCATCAAGCTCAATCATGATTGTTAAAGTTGAACACAAAACAAAAAAAAATACGCATCATGATGCTATTTTATTATCATAGTCTATTTTTATGATCACGTCTTTATGATTCGACGAACGAAAGAATTATTGTAATCATTGAAACATCATCATCTTCTGCCAGTTCAAACTTAAAGTGCAATGAGTTGAAAATATATAAAAATATGTGAAGAACTGGTAAAAGAGTCAGACTCGGGTGAATGCACCAAAATGCACTTTTAATTTTGAATTATCGGCGACAGTCAATTTAATGTGATGACTTTTGGTCTTTAGGCTCTGAAAAGATGAAGTTTGATTTCAATGACATGTTTTTTGTGAAATAATCGAGTGACTCGAGTGGCAAGTCCTCTAAGGTCTGTATTTATGGCTTTTTACAAAACCCAACCTAGTATTGAAGTGCAATAAATTTTATTCAAATGGTTGTGTGCTCAGTGTAGCTGCTAATCATGTCACAACGTTGTTATCTTGTCAAATGGGGATCCAAATAGTCAGTCATACTTAAAACCAGAAGGTGAAGCTGGTTAAGTTTTTGTATGAAGATAAGTCAGCCTCGATAAGACAATCTGCTTCAAATTAAGGAATTCTACTCTACTAAAAAAATATGGTCAACACTAGACAAAACATGGATTATGTACCTCAAAATCAACGAATTAAGTGATATGATGTATGAACGAAAGTTGCAACAAGTCAAGACTCTTCCAAAATTGTATATAACATCTTTCCTCCTCAGCAATAGAAGACTCTTGCCAATAGACGCCAATTGGCTCTAATTTGAGGTCCATAATCCATGTTTTGTCTAGTGTGGACCATATTTTTTTAGTAGAGTAGAATTCCTTAATTTGAAGCAGATTGTCTTATCGAGGCTGACTTATTTTCATACAAAATCTTAACCAGCTTCACCCTCTGATTTTAAGTATGACTGACTACTTGGATCCCCATTTGACAAGATAATAACATTTCCATGTATGCTAGTCGTAGAAATTGAGAGCAGCTAGTACCTTAGATAATAACACAAGTCTTAGCCTAAACAATTCAAATTCCCAGCCATTAGTCAAAAGTCCAAAGTGAGCTAACATACTCAATCATAACAAACCTACCTTCCACAACCTCTTACATACTAAAAATAGAATGAGAAGAGCAATGGAATTATTGAACTATTGCAATTGATGAATTGAGATGTTCATCATTATCATCATTCTTGTACTTATAGTGGTTCTGTGAAACCATGGACGATCATTAATCGAAACCAATCAGTTCTATTCCATTATTCTTTCTACATTTCCTCTCATTCTGCATTTTTCTTGTACATTTTATAGCAGTTCTATTCGATGGATAATTTTGCGGTTCCAGTACACATAAAAGCTGATTTATTTGTAATTTTGTTTTAGTTTTATTTGCATTTACAGAATGCAGAATAATTTCTGTATAACTTTGTTCCATAAATGTCTCTGCCTTCAAAGCATGCTCTCGTAATAATGTTTGCCTGCTTATCCAAGACTTAACTTGAGTGTAAGCAGCAGCAACAGAGCAATTGAAGCATCAACACCTACAAGAGAAATGAGAAGAAAAAAAGTCATCCAGGTAGCTTAAGATTATTATATACACTTATTTTTTTACATATTTCCTTTTCGAGAATAATCTTGAAAGCGGTGAAACGGTAAATTCTGACAGAATGAGACCTGGGAGTAATTTGATAACATATATATGTTCACATCTCTTGAATACGATTTTATTCTCTTTCCCTCATAAAAGTTTAAGATTTAATTACTTTTTAATAATAATTTCGTCGAATCACTGACGAATAATGGACTTTTTTAACATACAAATGTACTTAAGAGAAAGAAATTTCGACGCTTTTAGTGCATTTTGTTGTATTGATGAGATGCTGCTGTATGTTTACTGTCTGCCCGTCTGTCAGTATGTTGATATGGGCTACTTTTCAGTTTTAATCATTGTTTTTCAAAATGTGTGTTGTTGTGTCACATAGGTTCGTTGTTATCCATTGCATTTGAACGTGCTTGCTTAAATAACTATACAGATCAATTGTAATCCATGGTCTCTATTCGATGAACCATCAATAGCTTGCTATCGCTTGCCAATCATCAATTCTAATACTCTAAAATATCCCAATGAACGCACACTTCTTCAGTTAACAAATGCGCTCCGATCAGTCACTCATGACCACGTCTCTAAACCAGCTTGCGTTTTCTTTTTGTCTTCATCACTAAAAAGCAAACTTTACACAGAATTCTTTTTCTCAATTTTTATTGAGGCATTTTTATGAGGCACTCTAAAAGTTACTTTTTTTATAAAAGAAGAAAAAATTGACTAAATGAAATAAGAATCTGCCAAAAGCACAATTCATTAACCTTCATGTTGAGTATGCGAACATCATGCTGAAAATTATCGCTATTTGAAGATAAATTTACATAATTTTTAGGTCAAAAGAATTAGCCAATTAAAGTCTCTATTTTTTTTTTTCTCTCCTCAATTTCGAATTCACAAATCGTCTTTAAAATGAAGGAATTACTTGATTTGAATTTTATAGCAGTATTTTGCAAATGCAAGCATACGGTTAATGAAAAATATTCTCATTAGATAAGTTAAATAGATGCTCTAGCAATATAAAACAGTAATTAATTAAGTCACTTTCCATACTACTATATGTGTTTATTTTTCCTGTTAATCTGTCCATTCCGTAAAATTGACAGCAATTGAACTCATTGGCGAATCGAATCGCTTTATGAATGCGGCTGTGGGGGATTCTATCGAAGATTGATGTGCAATGGTGTTTAAAGAATGTTTGGAATTAGATTTACTTATTAAACATTTTATGGGTTTTATTGTGTTTTTCGGAGCATTTGTAAAGTTTTGATGATGTTTTGAACCATTAAAAATTTTCCTTAATTATTTATTGAATTTGAAAGCTTTCAAGTGAAATTTACAAACACTTTAATAGCTTTGGAGACTCTCAATTCAAACATTTGGGGTTTTGGAACACTTTTAAACATTTCATAGGGTTTCAATGCATTTATTCAAAAATTTATTACGTTTAATGTGTTCATTAAAACATTTGGAGGGTTTTATTGAATTTCTTGAAACATTTGAAATGCTTTGGAACATTTTAAACATTTATATGGTTTTGAAAGCTTCAAATTAAACATTTTCAAAGTTTTGTCAAATATTTCAAAACATTTCAAGAGATTTAGAGCACTTTAATCATTCGTATCGTTTTTAAATCATTTACTCATTTTAAACTCAACTTTTTTCAAGCAAGAAAATCCATCCATCTATAGAATCACCAATTAATTTCCTTCTAAAGACTTCTAAACATTTCTATCTATTACGAAGAAGCCATAAGAGTATGCTCATCAATTATTTATATGTTTTTCATTCCCATATCAGGAAAAGTCACATCATTTTGTGAAGAATCAGTAGCATCTGCCGAGTTCAACCAACCAACCAGATTCAGTGAACTTTAAATTGTTTTAAGGAACATGAAATTTTGCATACCAATTACAATTTTTATAGCTGCCATAATTCTCTTTGGAAATGCTCAAAAGTTAAGCGAAGAAATTAAATCTGAAATGTTTTATGGGAAGATAAACGAGACATTGCGTGAACCACTAAAAATGTATCCAAAAAGAATTAAATGCATAATTAAGGAATTGAAAAGTAAAAGGACGATGGAAGTAATTGAATCTTTTTACAATTTCACTTACGCCGATAATGGATACATGTGTTATTTTGGCAATCATACAGGAGTAATGAAAGTACTCCAACCGATTATAGATAGTGCAAGTTTTGGATGCACCATAATTGGATTCTGTGCGATATTTTTAATATGTACCGTCTTATTGACTGTTGTTGCTTGCGTTGCATGTTTGCATAAGTGAAATTCTTTGCTGTAAATGTGAAGAATAAACAGACACGACCATGGACCTTAAGTAGTAATAAGAAGAAATTATATTGAAAGAACATTAATGATGTATATGTTAACAAACTCCATATCTACAAAGTATTATCACAAAATCTCTTTGTGTCTTTTTTTAATTTTTGAAACGTTCGATTTATTGCCTCAAAAATATTAATCGCCTTTCGCGTGTCGCTAAGAAACATGCAAAATTTTTGAATTTCGATTCAATTCTTTCTTCATAAAAAAAAGTAAGAAATTAAAATTCTGTTTTTGGTTTGATACAAAATTTATCGTCTGTAAGTTTTTTTTTCGTTATTCTTCTATCTCATTTTACAAAAAAAAAATAAAGCTTAAAAACATTATTTGAGATGCTCGTTTTTTTTTATTCTTCAACATTGGTTTTTTATACTTAAAACACGCTGCATATATTTTTTTCTTTCTTGAATAACATACATATATTTATGTATGTATAAACTAGCTGAGGTACTCGCTGAAGCATCGTTAAATTGACTTTCAAAGTTTTTTTCATTTTTAACGATTTACATAAATTTAAATAATAGTAGTGACTTCCCCTTGTTAGTAGCTTGACCCTCTAAATTGATGATTCTTCAATATTTCTCGAAAGGATCTAAAAGTTGATTGCAATCAATAAAAATCACTAATAAACTGCCGTAGCTACTTAGAAACTTAATAAAATGATAAATGGCAGGAGATTTAAGCAATTTCCACAAAAATCAGTCGAGAACGAAGAGAAATTTATAACTCAATTAACATAAGATCTCATTTATTATTGAAATAAGATATATTTCTGCAAAATCCGAACTGTAAACTCATTTTCACACCTTAAAAAATCAAGTTACTATTGGAAATCAATACGAGAAGATACACGCGAATGACAAGGCCGAAAGATGAATGAAAAAAATTATATACATAATCTATACACATTCTCAATCCACATACTGTATAATATGTTGAATATATATATTTTCAAACTTAATGGTATGAATTTCTTTCTAATAATGGGCAAAGATAAAGGCAAGACAAGAACCGATCTCGACAATAATTTAATTTTATTGTTGTTGGTGCCTCCTCGCGATTGTTGTTAAACATAAACAAGAAGAGATGTTGGAAAAAAGCAACAACAAAAGAAACGATTGGAAAGATGTGTATATGCATAAAAAAAGAAAGAAAGACAGAGAAAAATGGAAGAGCAAGAAGCATCGACTCTACCTAACGGTCACTGGCTGGACTTTTCTCTATAAAATGAGCTTCTTTCCTTATGTTCACATTCAGTTTGTGATAAAAGGTGACCGAGCTAAGAACTAATACGCGAAAAATAATCTCGGATTCATAAATTATTTATTTTATTTATTTCAAGTGATCTTCAAAGTTCTTCGCGTTAAATCAATTTAATTTGGATAAAAATGAAAATTATCGGTGCATTTTTGTGTTTGATTGTTGTGGCTCAAGCTGGAATCATTAAAAGGGAGACAGCAGACGGTCTTGTAGGCCCGATTGTTGAAGAAATTCTTAAAGTTGAAATTAAGGCTGACTTAAAGAAAAATAATGTAGTTCAAATTGATGAAAAGGAGCCTGTCATTGTTGAAGTTGTGAAGAAAGAAGAAATTATTGTGCCACTTGAGGGTCGTACTGTCGAAGAAATTGTCACAGTTGATGAGAAAAAAGTTCCAGAGGTTGTTGAAACTAGTGTAGTAAAAGAAATCATTCCAGAGCCTACCGAAGAATTACGTACAGTAGAAAAGGTTCCTGAAATTATTGAAACCGTAGTTATCGAAGAAGTTCCAGAAAAGCCTGTCGATAATTTACGCAAAGAAGAAGTTCCTTCAGTTGAAGAGCCAGTCGCTGCAATCATCAAAGAAACAATCGTAATTGAGCCAGTTTCAGAACTTAGACAAGATCCAGTTGCCATCGTAATCAATGAAGAAATCATTAAGCCAATGATCAGAAACGTCGTCAAAGAAGAAATTCCTCAAGTTGAAGAGTTACGCAATGTCGCAGAAAAGAAGGAAGAGATGGTTATGACTATGAGCGAAGTTGTACCAGAAATGCCCATGGAAGAAGTCAAGAGTGACGTTATGCCTGAAATGTTAAAAGAAGAGGAGAAAAAAGAAGTTGTACCTGAAATGCCAAAAGAGGAAATTAGAAGCGAGGATATGCCAGAAATGATTAAAGAAGAAATCAAGAGTGAAGTAGTTCCTGAAATGCCGAAAGAGGAAGTCAAAAGTGAAGTAATGCCAGACCCAGTTATGCCAGAAATGAAGGTTGAAGATGCACCTGAGCTTCCGAAATCAGAACCAGTTGTTGAAGAAGTAAAAGAAGAAATGAAGGTTGAAGCAGAGGTAAAAGAAGAAGTTAAATCAGTTGAAGATGATCCAAAAAAAGTCGATGAAGAAATGATGCCAGAAGGTAAACAAAACATCATTCAACAAGTACAACAACAGGTCACAAATGCTTTAAGTAACGTACCAATTGTTGGGCCATTATTGAACAGAAATACACAACCACCAACTGAAGAAGCAGCCACAACAGTTGCATCAGATACCCCACAAGAAGCTAGTGCAGATGCAACAACAGCACCAAATCGACCAATTTTAAATGCAATTCAAGGATTAACAAATCAAGTACAATCAGCCCTTGGAATCACTCCAGTACAATCTGATACTCCACAAGATACACAACAGCCAGCAGGTCCATTGGGTGCCATCCAAGGTGCTATCACAAACTTCCAAAACTCCCTTCAAACAGGCTTCCAAGGTGCAGTCACCTCATTAACAAACGTATTCAGACCACCAGGATCAGCAAACACCCCAACAAAGACTGAAGACAAGCCAGCAGAAGAGACAACAGTTGTCGAAGAAGAACAAAAATCATCAGATGAGCCCACTGTCGATGTACAAAAAGAAGAGAATAAAATTGAGGACGAGGAGACGAAAGAGAAAATTAGTCAAGAATAAATTCAAATTGAAATTTAATTTCTTTTAAAAAAACTTTAGCTCATAAGAAGACATAAAAATGAATTCCTTTAAAAGACACAAACACACAAAAAAAAGACATGAAAAACAAACAAAAACAAAATTTCTCTTTAAGCTTAGTCACCACCAGGACAGACAATAATCATCACATTAATTATCACAAACAAAATCCATTTTACAAATAAAATAATATTGACACCGATTTTCTTTTCTTAAGAAAATATTTTAACTTAAAAAAGTAGGTTTAAAAGCTAGAAAACAGACTTTGTATCAGAAGACTTGAAATAAAAAGAAAATTGTGAAAAAAAATTTAAAATTAATTTGTTTCTTTAATTTGCATTTATTTGGTAATTGATTTACAGTTAAGCAATCTTTAATGATGCAGCAATTAAAGATCTTGCGGATGAATCTTAAGTGCATGCTAATTGGAATGTAAGACTGTCCTTATAAGGCCAGGCTGGATTAATTTAAAAATTTATTTGAATTTTAATGTTTCTTTTTGAGATTCTTAAGTTGACATTCAAAAAACGGTCACAATAAATTTGAAAAAATTATCTTAATTTAATTTTAAAGAATTCTAAGAATCAATTTGAAAAAGAACAAAATAGTCAGCATGTTTGTGTGGTGAATTTGAAAACCCACCAAATTTTTAAACAGAATTCCACCACAATTCACTGATTAGCGAATTCCCCTCTCGATTGTGTCTTGGCTTATAAAAAATATACAATTTCGTGACGTAGGCAAAATATTCAAGAAAATTGTCTCAAACTTAATAGACATAAATATTTAAAATTCGTGAGAATAAAGTGATTGTTTAAGACTTGTTTATTAACATTCCAATTAAGAGCATCAAAACATAAAAAGATGGTAGAATTAAGTGGAAAATCGGATCCCTTCCAGCATTCATTCCCAAATATGGTTTTTATCATACCGACAATCTTAGTTCTCTCATTGATGGGTAAGATACAGGATAATTTTTGATATTATCTCAAATGATAACATAATTACTGCCAAAAACTATCACAAAACTGCCGATTTTCATTCATCGAGATGTTAAAAAAGAGAGTTTAAAGCTATCTCAAGTTCCACGTAGCGAGATTTTCTTCCAACAAATCAAATCTCTTACAGTACAATGTATTAAATAATAAGAATAAAAAATTTACAATGTTTTTCTTTAAAATTCACAACTTACTCGGGAACTTTACCATATGTTGACATACATTTTTCACAAGCGAATGACGTAATGGCTTTTCTCAACAGAAAGGTCAATGTCACACTGTGGAAAATTATTCACATGTTGATTTTCACATTCATCAGGTGGCTATAATAGAACTTCACTTTATGTCCATTGCATTGCATTGTATGTCCAATGACATTCTCATATTTTTTTGAGAATTTTGAGCATACATTTAAATATTTCGATAGTTGATTGAGAATATTAGTCAAAAATCAGAGTCACAGACACAGAACAGAGCAGTTTTAGTTTGAGTGTAAATAAGACAAGAAGTCGGCAAGTGACAATAATAAAAAGAACAAGTTATGGAACATCTTGCGAAAGAATTTGGCAATTATATGAACGATGGATCAGGAGTTGGTCCAGAATACTCACCCGAGCAGACCACAGGCTTGCTAATGGCATTTATTGACCAAATGCAGGTTGATGAAGAGCAAAAGGCAAAACTAAGGACTAATTTGCTTGAAAGACTCATGAAAAAGAAGTTCCCCTTCTGGGAGTATGCTAATGAAAATTACAAATTATATAGGAACAAAACATCCAAAATGATCCAAACAGAAAAGAAGAAATTCTGTGATAAATATTTTCTAGAAAACAAAGACAATCCTCGCAAAACATGGAAGCTGATTAAGAATCTTCTGTTCAACACAGATAACGAGCAACAAAATCAATGTCAACTCCTTATTGATAATGGCATACCAATTACAAATCCAAAACATATTGCAAATCGTTTCAATGAATTCTTTACTAATCATACCTCCACACAATATACTAACACATTCACTAACGATGAAGAATTAACTCAATTTCACTTAGCAGAACAATACGAAATTTCTACACCTCTAGCCTGTCCAAATGTCACCGAAGATGAAATCAATTTAATTATTGATGGTCTAAGCAATTCAAAGGCAGTTGATATTTATGGAATTTCAAATTTTTTTGTGAAATTTCATAAGGAAGAATTAATCCCCAATCTAACACGTCTAATTAATATTTCTCTCTTTGATGGCAACTTTCCTGACAGTTTAAAAAAAGGAATTATAACACCAATTCACAAAAAGGGTGACAAAACAGACAAAAAAAACTTCAGGCCAATTTCGATTCTGCCGATATTCTCAAAAGTTTTTGAATATGTTATAATGAGAAGACTTCAAGATCACATTGATAATAATAATATCATGGCTGTTAATCAATTTGGATACACTAAAGGATCTAACACTGAAATTGCTGCAGTTCACATTCTCAATGATATATATTCTAGTATAGACAACAAGTTCTCAACTGCCCTTACATGTCTTGACCTATCTCGTGCATTTGATTCGATCCCACATGACATCCTACTAAGAAAGTTACACAAGCTTCAACTGCCAAAGTTCTTTTTTAATTTACTATGCTCTTATTTCAAGTCACGGTCTCAGGTTGTCAGATTAAATGATATTCTCAGCGATCTTTTATTAATTTTTTTTGGAACTCCACAAGGAGGTGTACTTTCTGGTCTATTATTTAACATCTATATTAACAGTATCTCAAGACTAAATCTCAATTCCTCTATTTCTCTTTACTGTGACGACATTTCCCTAGTGACATCTGCGAGAGACCCCTCAACTCTCCAATCTCTCATTCAAAATGATCTTAATGAAATTTCAGTTTGGTTAAAATTTCACTTTCTCATTCCCAATGCGAACAAGACAAACTATTTATTATTTCACAATCGTAAGAGAAATGAATACTTTACTGAAAATGCTCTTCATCTATTTGTAAACGGAACTCAGATTGAAAGAGTTGAAAGTTTAAGACTTTTAGGCCTTTTCATCAATGAGACTTTAAATTTTTCATCACACTGTCAAAACATCCAGTCCAAAATAATACCATTTGTCTTTGCTTTAAAACGAATACGTCATCTCATCACTGATAAAACCGCTATGAATATGTATTTTGCATATGTCCAAAGTAGATTATTATATATGAATGTAATTTATCAAGCAGCACCCCACTATCTAATAGAAGCTCTTCAAATAATCCAGCGTAAAGCCTTAAGAATTGTTTTGAAAAAAGATTGGTATTGTAGCAGAAATGAATTATACTCAATAAATTGTTTGCCAGTCTCTCAACTTTGTGAAGTTTCTTCTCTTGTGCTTCTATTTAAAATCATTAATAATTGCTGTAAGAACAATGTTGCGATTAGAACTGTAAGTCAAATTCATAATTTCAATACAAGAAACCGATCTAACTTTGCCATAAATATGACAAATACACACTTAGGTGCACAAAACTTCTACATCCGTTCTCTTGTAAGTTACAATAAAATTCCAATGTTTATTAGAAATGCGCGATCAATAAGTTCATTTAAAACAAAAGTTAAAGAATTTTTATTTAAATCATCCGTTGATGAGCAACAGCAGTAATGAGCAACCTCATATAACAATGCTTACACTCTATCTAAAATTGTTATTAAGTATAAAATAGCAGAAATGCTTATATATTTTTATGAATCAAATAAATTAAAAAAAAAAAAAAAAAAAAAATCCAGAAGCATTTGAAATGCCTGAGGATACTGTCACTAAAGGAACCATAGCATCGCCACAACAAATTTTAAAATTAGTGGGATTACTCTTGCTTGTGTTTGGTATACTTGGTAAGAGCACACAATGTCTCCTTATCAGTTATAGTCTATAAAGTTCACAGGTCAATTATGTCTAACTGCAAATATTACTTAATTCCGTAGCCCATAATAATAAAAAGAGTAAATTCACGGAATTGAGTACGGTAAAATTTAATTATTGGCAAATAAACGATTGATAAGATAAAAGTGAAAGACCTGCGTGCATCAGTATATAGAATTATTGCCTGAGTACAGCCATATGATGTGTCTATACTTTTTCATTTTTTTCTTATAAACCTTATAGTTAGTGTATATTGAACATTCAAGCGAACATGTTAATCTTTCTGATTAGATAGCATCCATACTTTAAGAAAATTAATTTTTATTTATTACTTCCATTGTTCAAGTGTACTTAAAGCTGAATGTGTGTCAAAAAAAAATAATTGCTACGTGGATAAATCGGTGCATTTGCAAAAAACAAATTAGTAAATATGTCTAGTGAAAGTTCCTTGCCAATTGACTCTCAAAAAGCTAAAACAGTTATTGAGGAATTAATGAAAACACCTGAAGGTCGTGATCTTGCTGATAAAATCAAAAATAAGCTCATAGATTTGAATACACAATTTAAAAATCTTTCGCCGGACGATAAGCAGAAATTTGCGGAAGAATTTAAAGGAAAATTCCAAGAGACATTTGAGGACCTTAAAGATTCATTAAGAGTGCAATTAGGAAGCGATTTAAGTGGAAGCGAGAGTGATGAATTTAGTGAAGAAATTCCATCCAATTACGGCCCACAACCTAATTATTTTTTATTCCTGATTGCATTCATTCTTATTTTATTGTTATTCGGTTAGATTTTTTTTTTTTTGGAACTGACAATAATATTGAAAGTGAAATGACAAACATTTATAAGCCATGTGATAAAAATACAAAATTGTTTTGGTTACCGGAGTAGCGTGTCAATTGGTTGTGAAGCATGATTATTGTGATTTTTGTTACGTCAGTGATTTTGCCGTTAAAAGCTTAAGGAAGAAAAAGTCACGTTGATGGGGGTGTATTGAATTTGGGTTATGGAAAATATTAGATTAATGGAATGTTAAAGCTGTTTAATGATGAAAAGGAATCAAGGGATATTTGTGATACTAAGCAACAGTGATAATGGATCCTACTTCGATTTTCTTGAGTAGAGGTGGTTTGAGGAAATACTACTAAAGATTTTTCGAAAATTTTAGATCAAATTTGGAATAGATGCTATCATAATTGAATCACAGTACTTCCAGTTGAAAAGATGGAGCCTTCCTAAGATTTTTATGGTTAGCTAGGTTACCATTTAATCCTAACAGACAATAAGCATGTTCTGCCTATACTCACGTGTACCAATACCACGTCTTCATAATTTATTGAAATAAGCATGGTTTTTGTTTGCTGGTAATTACCAGAGTTACAGCTTAATGCAGTTAAATGTAATTAATACAAATCTATTAAAATCAAAAAGCAGTAACGCTTACTGGAAAACCCAAAGTTACATCAATGTTACCTCACCTTCTAAACTTCAATTAAATCCTCAGTTCCATTCCTTTCGCAACTCTACTTCAATGATAAGTTTATTAACTACGTGTAATGCTACAATATGCTTTAGATGATGAATATTATCAAAATTAAATTTTTCGAGTATCCCTAAAATAGCTTTGCAACATGCTCACTGCTCAAAAATCACAACAACAAAAATCCTCAATTAAGCATGCTTCATGACAATTCAAAAGCGCTAAATTCGTGCTCCCCACGAACAGTGATTAAAAATAAAAAATTAAAACCTTTTAGCATATTTACGTGATAGTCGCCCATCGCATGGCAAATTGTCAAAAATAATGTTATCATTTCATTAAAGTGTCACTCAATTCCGATATGCTGTGCTAATAAAACTTCTATCTGATTGCTCTTTTTAGGCTTCTTCGGATATAAATTGTACCTCTCAATTATGGAAAAGGAGCTTGGCAAAGGCAAAAAGAACAAAAAGGAAGACAAGAAGAGCAAAAAATTAAACTCACCACCATCATCGCCTCGATCCAAGAAAGAAAAGTGAATTTAGTTAAATTCGTGTACTTTAATTTTTATATTCAACAGCTTAATGCTTCTGTTGCTGTTTTTTTTTATTACCTATATTGAAAATGTATGCAATGAATTTTGTTTTGGTGCATTAAATGATTCATTCTGCCAAACAACAAAACGAATAATAATAATTAAAATTTGCTAGCTCATTCAGCTCATTTCATTAAAAACACAAAAAAAAGTTTACAACTTGGTAAATTTAAACGATAATTATGAAAAAGATGTGAAAACAACAATAAATTGTAAACGAAAAACTTTTATAGGAAGAATTTTTTTTTTTGATATTTACTTGCTGGGGGTTATTTAATAATGATGTGAGCTACACATCACGAAGTGAGATAAGTACCTCGGTAGCCGAGTGGCAGGGATCTCTGATTGAGTGGTCAGAGATCGTCTCTTTAGAAGTCGTTGGTTCGATTCCCATCAAATTCGACTTGTTTTACATTATTATACACATATAGCAGTTTTAGGGGGATCTTCAGTTGGTGACAATACTCAGGTTTGTCTAATAATGTTCTACAGAGCCAGTAAAGTAACTCTAATGATCAAGAATCTAATATAACAAGCGTAGTCTTCAATAATCTCAAATTAAGGAACTAAGGTCATAAGGACTTAAGACCAGACCCCATTTCTTAAATCTCCATGATAAGGAAAGAACCCCACAACCGCGCATTACTTCTCTGTTTGATTTTACACGATTGTTCCGGGAATTACTTAAGTAAGCTTAAACAGTACATACTGATCAAAAATAAATATTATGATGATATAAATGTGCTAATTTTAGGAGAAATCTTTGTAACTTAATATCGTTACAGCTTGGAAATTCCTTTTCAGATTTTAATAATCCGGCTTTAATTCCAAAGAATTTGTTCCTTTCAAATATTTTTGCTCACATCATTCCTCCAAAAAGAGCTTTTTTACATCACTTAAGAGAATGTTTGCTGCCAGTTGTCTGCACATTGTGAACATGAATAGTGTTTGCTGAAGAATTTAAAGGCAAATAGTTCTTGGAAAATCAACTGTTGCCAAGACTGCGGTAATTTTAGTTCCTTCGCACTTCACTCAATGACTTTGAAGTGTGAAACAATAAGATATCTGGGGCGAATGAATTGCTCTTTAAATACTTGATAGACTTTGCACTTCTTGTTGACTCATTGTCGGTAAAATACTTCGGTCATTTAATGAGGTTTGCCAAGTGTGATTTTCGGACATCGCTCTGTCATCAAATTTTGCAAGGGAATCACTTGTATTAGTTGAACATGAAGTTCGTATGAAGTATAACCCTAACAGACAAAGAGCACGATCTGAGCATGATTTTTAAAAATCAATATTTTAATTTGATGATGCTAAATTAGCGTACTCTCCCATACAAATGGAGATCGCAGCAGGGTACCACAGAAATCATGCTCTCAAGAGTACGCTTTTCTACTTGCAAATTTTTTTATGCAAGTTAAACTTGAGAACATGATCAAGAGCATGTTCTGCTGATCATGCTTCGATTTTTTATAAAAAAAAAATTATGAGCTTGTGATTATGCTCTTGATCATGTTTTTGAGGATTTGATATTTTTATTCTTTTTTGGTTATTGCCGTGATTCGAACTCGAGTACGCTGTGTTGTAGTTTGTCCTGATAACTGTTCATCTTGTCTAATGCCTTCTGAAATTTAATAACTTTTAAATAGCTAAAAGACATATTTAAACTATAGAAATTCCAAAATAATTACTTATAATAGTGATTTCTGCTAGCACTTGTGAAGTATATAGCAAGAAAAATTTTAGCATAATCTCATGAGGATGTGAATGATCATGTTTTTTATATAATCTTCTGATCATGCTCTTGAGAGTATATAAAAGATTATGAAGTAAAAACTTGCATGCAAGTTATTTATAATTAGAGGATGATTGAGTCCGCTATTGAACATGCTCTTTACTGGGATCTTGAGAGGATATTAAATAAGCGTATTCTCAACCGTACTCTTAATCAAGAGCATGCTCTTTGTGTGTTAGGGATAAGCTGACTTCATCTTTCACATTTAACATTAGCGCAACACTGCAGTTCATTTACATTTGCATGTTGAATTCCAGCGCATTCCATGTCGCATTATTCCGCAAATTCTCCACCATATGATTCATATCACATTCATAAATCTGACATCCATTAAGAAAATATTGACAACATTATCGCATGCTGATTATTATCACATATTTATACATCATTACACCCACGTCGAGTCAAATAGCTTCTTACATTCTGACCTAAATATTAGTTATTCATAAAAAGTACATGACATGCTTCTTTACTAAGCGCAGCTAATGCAAAATTCTAATCAAAAACCTCGTATGACATTATCAAATGCACGCGCAGGAAATTTAAAATAATAATTTAAGAATCAATAAAAATGCTAAAAACTGAGATAAAGCTATGACCTTCAGTGAGTAAAAAATAACAAGATTTACTATCGCAAAAGAGTTGAATGATGATAATATTATGCTGCGGCACATTTTTTGGCATTCAGTATGAATGTTTGTGTAGATTTGCAGTCTGATATGGTGCCGTAAAGTAGCATATTGTCGATAGTGTAGGAAGTTTGGCTGCTGTTGATTTATTTGTAAAAACTGTGCTATTTACATGGAAATTGAGTTGTCAGGCATTAAAATATTGTGGCTTTGACTTTCCTATTCGTTATTTGATGATAATGAATATCATTTGGACCTTGTAAATTCTCCTGGATGTTCCTGGATCTTGACAAACACTGGATACTGATATTTTTGAGTTTACTTCATCTTGTTATAGTTGCATTAACTTCCTGAGCATTTTGAACCAAGACTTTTTTAAGAACAAATAACCACAAAAAAACACACCAATTTTGACTTTGTTTCATTTTTGAGGTTGGACGAAAGTCAATAAACCTAAAATTTGAGGTTTTTTCACAAAATATTTGAATCAAAACTAGGAAATCATATTAAACCTACAAAAATAAGAATTCTAGGTTAAAAATCTAATAAAACAATCAATAAAAAGCATCTAAAAAGATCTTCATTGCCAAATAATTTATTATTTTCTATCAATCTCTTTTTATTTCTAATCATACGGTAAAGAGAAACAATTAAAAATTATTCAACAACTACTATAAATATAAGTTAAATGTTGTATAGAGATTTCTTGAGAAAATTTTTTGTTACTTTTCTTTTTGTCTTAAAATCTGAACGATCATAATCACACGTCGAAGTATAGAGAGGTTCAGTTAGATTCCACAATTACCGATGACTGACGATTAAAGGACAGAAATTTTCATTCACTAGAAAAAGTTTGTATACGATTTATGAAATTTATGGTTATCGACAAAAATATTTATGGTGTCTTTCTTATCATTTATCCAAACACCATAGATCATCCTTACTTATCTATACAATATTGTGAATTTGAATTTTGAATTTCCATTTTGAGAATATACACGATACTAATCGAAAGCATAATGAAGACAAAAATTGTTATCCATTGCAATGACTGCATTGTTTTAATTTGTTGCTGCATGTTATGAACATTTTCAGAGAGTTGATTTACTGTGACTTGCAAATGCTGTTGTGTATGCGAACTTGTTGGTTTCGTTCCATTATGGCTAACACTACTATGGACTATATTTGATGAACTGACTGTGGTTGAGTCTAGAAAATAGTCTAAAAATATTAAGGGAACATTAAAGGCTTACTACTCTAGACACAGAGAAATATATACATTAGTTTAGGTTATTAAGCTGTTCTTAAAATTTAAAGGTTTTCAATAATTCAAATTTTTAACGTGTTCCAAGTAGCATGTTTTTAAATTCAAAATTAACGGTTTAAAAAAATTTGAATTTAGGAGCAGGTTTCAAACTTCAAAAATTAACGATTTTCAGCACGAAATCTTAATCCAGAGACATCATAAATCGATTAAATAGATCCAAACGATTATCTTTAATCACGATTACTATTAAATACCTAACAAATAGTCATATTAACATTATCTAATCTAACATTACGCAGACGATTACATTATATTCGACATAAATGTCAAATTGCGCATTTCACCGAATGAAAAGCAAACAAATAGATTAATAAGAAAGCGGTAGCTCACCTGAAATTCCTTCCAAATTATTGATTATCGCCGTTGTTACAGGCATGGCACATTTTAAACGATGTTGTTCAACTGGACTACTCGCATTCACTTCTTTCCAAATATTTGAGATTTCTTCATTCGTAAGAGATTCATCAGGAAGTGGCATACACATTACTAGGAATTTATCTTTATTTACAGGTAGTGTATGCTGATTTTTCTGTATAAGGACGTTAATTATGGCATTATTATTAGGCGAAAGTGTTCCAGAGCTTGGACGAACTCGAAATTTATCTAAAATAATTAAATTTAATTTTACACGTGACACAATCAATTCAATATTCTAATTATGTCTACCTGGAGCTGTCGTTTTCACCTTTAATTGATATTAACATGAAATGGAAGGAAGGAGAGCAAATTAGATCGAGTAAGCAGCAAAACAAATAATTTTAGGGTCTCTATTTCAATATACACGAGATCATTATCGTGAATACAATTTAAATAAATGCGAGGAACAAATGGTGATTTACACAACACACGCAAAGTCATAGAAAGAGGAAAATAGTCGACTGGGGAAAGCAGACTAATGAATTTTTCAAAGTATCGTGTAGCCGCACATCACAATAAGTATGATTCTTGTAAAATATATATGTTTATCCGATTCTGTCTCAATTTCCACTTACTTTATACGTTATAGCCTTCTTTCCGACATTTAGAATCTCAACATTGCCAAAATATTCATTGTTGTTGTTCTTTTGAAACACAATCGTTTCGGCAGGCGTTAGTTGGAGCATATCTGTTTAATTAAATTAAGAATATTATCAGTGATTCTGCTCTTATCGTCTTGTGCAAAGATTTTTTCTATATATTTTTTGTGTACAGGAACAAAGTCTTATCTACATTCCAGCAATAGAATTTTGTACTTTAGACAGAATCATGACATAAAGCGATGCCTACCTCCATAATTATTTTCAAATTGGGAGTTTGATGACACATCCGACATTGGTGATTCTTGTAAATTTGCGAAATGAACCTGAAACCATTGAAATGTTAATTAAATTAAGCTGAAAAAAACGAAAGATAATTCGGGTAACAAAGGAAATAATGAGCATGCAAAAATATTTTTGGCAATAAAATCACAGCGAACGAGCAGCAGCGAATTGCATAAAGCAATTCAAAGGCCAAATAGCAAATAATTAAATTAATTTTTTGTAAACACGAAAAATAATAGGGTAAACCATGTTGAAATTTGTGCGATCAAATGAAATGTAAATCATCTAAACTAAACCATTTATAGAAAAAATTTGTATGCAGTTCTTTGTAAAGCAATTATTAAAACTTTTCTACTTAATTTTGGATTGTGTTGAAGGTTCTTATAGCTTTAAATTTCAATTATTCAAAATCCTATACAAAATGAAAGTTTTCATCTTTTTAATTATTTGGACTCAACTAATGATTCTTCTTACCCCATCAGAGTTGAAAAACAAATTTTCTTTATTGCTTTTTCGATTAAAAAAGTTTCTGCGTTTGAAAAGTCATTGGAAGTCCTTTAAAAATTGATTTTAAAATGAGTTATTTTCAAATGTTGAAATTTGTGCGAAATTTTTTGACAAATTTTGAAATTTGTGTTTTTTGTCATTGAAAGTGTGGCACAAAAAATGGCACATTTTGTCAACAAAAATAATTATTTACAATCAAAATCGGGTTTTTAGAAGTATGAATCAAGATTAAGACAAAAATAACACGAAGAAGACATGACTGAGACTAATGAAAAATGTGTTCGACTCAAATATTCATACAGAATCAAGAAATTTCAAAAATGCAACCAACTTCAAAAAATATTACAAGAACAAAAAAGCATTCAAGAACTACGTTCTGTTTTCAGTCCCAAATGGATGATACACAATAAACTTCGTTAAAATACTCTTCTTTTTTTTATTTCTCAAAACAATTTTGCAAAATTCTGTAAACTTTATTGTGAATAAATTTTGGAAAAAAACATTTGTAGGATGTGCTTGGTTTTAATGGTGTCTTCTCGTCATACTCAGTAAACATAAATGATATACATAATGATAAATAAATTTGGAAATCTTGAAAATAGTTCATTAATGCAACAGTGTCCTTTAAAATTGAAATGGAATTTATTTGGAAGTGTTCCTTAAAAGCAATCATAATTTAAAACCCTCGAAAATGCGTAAAAATATTGTTTGTTTACATTTCTGAATTGAAATGTGTCAATTCTTGCTGTCAAAAAAACGCACAAATTTCAACATTTTTTTGTACAAATTTCAACATTTGACCAAAAATGTCAAATTTCTTTTTCCATAAGCAGCATAGTCATCAAAAAAGATTAAAAACTAAAAATTCCAACAATTTTTGATCATTTAAGCCCAACAATAAATTTTTACAGTAAGGCATTAAAAAGTTATAAGCAAATGAAATCTTCAAGTGCAAAAACACACAAATTTCAACATGGTTTACCCTATGAGAAGTAAATTCCTCTCTTGAATTCAGCACATCCAACAGTCGCATAAGTCAACATAAATGTATGGCAAAGATTCATAGATATAAGTTAATTTATCTGTGTGCTGAACTCAAGTACTTCCTTTCTCACTGGATGTTACAAAAAATATTCTTATTTCCCCGATAAATTAATTAAAAATAAAATCGATAATGTCAATATATTTGTGCAGCAAAAGCCGTTAAGTGATATGTCAATAAATGATTTAAAGAATTTAAAATGTAATTTGCGTTTAATTACTCTCTGCATTTTCCTTCTTTTCAATTTATCCCACAAAATGAAAGAGAATTTTTTTGCTTTCTTATTATTTTTCCACCAATTATTCGATAATCAACATTTAATTAATATCCAATCGACAACTATGTAGCGTTCAACGGAAAAAATTACTTTTATACACTTTAATTAATGGAATATTTCCTGATAAATCACAATTTTCTTTTTTTTTATTGTGACCGAGAAAATTATTTTCGACTTTATTATTTGGAAATTGTAAACTGAATGAACATAAAATTTTCTTTCTACGTAGAAACTCGACAAAAGAGAGAATTCTCTCTATGTATTGGTGCTCACTTTATTCTCCTGACCATGCTTTGGACATTTAGAACGTTTCTTTACTTTAATTAAGAAATATCTTTTGATTTTTTTAAAATTTCAAATTTTCTTAAAGCACATGGCTTTGTTTACAAATTATTTCGAAAATAAATTATATAACTACCCATTTTGCTTTGTTATATTGGTGAATAACTTAGAGGCCGTTCACAATTTATTTCATTTTGATAATTTTTTATAGGTAGTTATTAAGAACATTTAAATTTTTATTAAAAAGGGGCCCCCCCCCCCTATGTTCAAACCCCCCTCCCCCCTAAAATTTGAACGTAATAAGTGAACGGCCCCTTATTAGGAATGCATAGTAATGATGATATTGACAATGCTTGATTGGATTGATTATATACTGCTAATTAACGGTAATTAGTAAGAAAATGTTTATATAGCAAATATTCCGTTTGAATTTTGAATTTCAAATTTTAGAATGACGTTAATTTTAACGGAATTTTTAACTTTCCTCAAAATAATAATTTTGACTTTCCCATTAATTTTATCAAGATCTATAGGTCACTAAACGGAAGGAAAGACAAGTAATCAACCAATAAAATCGATAAAAGTCTTACAAATCATCAGGAGCTTCAATAGCTCGTGCTCATAAACAATAATTTGCCCATTCACGAAACTCAGTTCCTTTCTTTTGAAAGCTAGCTCTCACAATATACAATATGTCTTACTCAAATGTTAATGATACGTCCTCTCGCGCTTTCATACAACGACTATTTATTATGTCGCGATAATCACAATCAGTAGTTAGGAAAACATAATAGACTTACATCCTATTTTGAATGTTCTTTATTTAACTTGATTATTTACATACAATTTAATAACCACCGCCTCAATGAGAACAAAAAATGCTGTCAACTCATCAACATAAATAGTAAATTAAAAGCCATATCATTTTAAGGCGCACCTGTCTCACATCCAATTCTCTTAAGGCTAAGATAACACAGCCTTACAGCCCTAAAAGGTTAAAACGATAACGAACTTATTTTAGTTCCAATCAATAAGTTTCACAAAAATAGAGTTGTTAGCGCAATGCGATGTTAAATAGAAAAGGAAATGAGATATGCTGAACGGAAGGAAAGGAATCAATTTTAATTATCAACTACGTTGTGAGCAACATAGCGCACGTCAGTAATCAATTGTCTGGCTGCATGCATTAGTAATTAAGTAGGTGCTACTCGCCACTTTAAAGCTCATTCATTAGTTTGAGTTCAACTAGATCTATATGCTCACCTTACGGACAGTGACATTCGTTATGTTGAAATTTTCTTGTAACTCATCGTTGTTATTCTCGAAGACTTCCTCTTTTTCCATCAATTCAGCTGGGCAAACTTCAGGTTCAAATTTCAGTTCATATTTGTCTAAACCACCCCACTCGTATGGCATATTTTCATCATCAATATATTGCCTCACAGTTTTCGAGTTGATGAACTTCATTCGTTCTACGACTTTTTTAGGCAGCAATCCTTTGACAATTTGAAATACGCCTAATATAGAACAATAGAAATTAATTGAATTAATTTTACGGTTTCGTGAACATTTAGGTTTGAGTGATATAAGAATTTCATTAATTGAATTAATTTTGGAATTAGATTCAACTTTTGACTTTCGAACTTAAATTTAAATTTCGAAAATAAATTTAATTTTCGAATTTTAATTTCGAAAATATATTTAACTTTCGAACTTAAATTTAATTTTTGAATTTTAAATTTCAAAGATAATTTTAACTTTCGAATTTCAATTTCGAAAATGAAATAGATTTCGAACTTTAATTTAAATTTTTGATTTCAATTTCGAACTTAAAATTAACTATCATTTATTTATAAAACTTATTTTAATACTTAAATTCAATATTGAACTTACGAATTTAACTTTTAAAATTAAACTTAATTTCGAATTTCATTGTTTTGCAATTTATGTTTTGAAATTGACATTCATTCAAATGTTCAAAAAATAGAAATCCAAAAAAAACATTAATTTATTTAAAACCTTCAAAAAGTCAACATTAAACCGTAAACTGACACGATTTCAAAGTTGTATCACTCAATGTAGACTGAATACTCACCTGACATAACCCATGGCATGTCATAAACGAGGATATAACTCAACGAATTAGGATAGTATGATTTCAAAATGTTAATCATTAATTTAATGTATTCTAAATCCATATTCTTCAATCCACTATTAATCATGTCAAGAACAACAGTTATTTGACCATCATTTGCCGCTCTCATGCTTCTTTCAAACCAATATAATAAGAACCATTTAAGTCCTTCAAGCGTCCTGAATCCTCTTGAATAAATTCTAATTCTAAAGAACATTAACTTATGACCTTCGACATCTTCACCTCTAATGTAAACATTTCCATTCTCTAAATAATTTGGAGGCACTGTCTCTTCGGTAATATCTTAAATTGATGAATAAATGTGTTAATCAAGCTAAGAATTAAGTTTTTTTTGTCATTTTTTATTAGTGGAAATCCAAACATTTTAGTGATTGACTGAAAATTGACTTTGGAAATCATGTGACAATGTCAATTGGATGCAAATGACAGAGTTGGTTTGATTAAGGTTTATTCAAGTTTGAATTGGATTTTTTGAGATCTAATTGAGATTTGCATCATATCTTAAAGATCCAGTGAAATTTTTCTGAACTTCAAAAGATCAAGTCAAGTTTGAATGATCAACAGAAATTCAATCTACACATTAGTAAGCAACGAAAGTCATTTACAACACATCAACAGGAACAATACACCTGTGACCTTGATTATATCGATTGATTTTTCGAAAATTTCAATTGTCTTCAATGTTAAGTCTTCTTCTATCAAGTCATTAAATGTTTAATTAACCACAATACAAAAAGTTTGGACATCACTGGATTAAAACAATGCATAGCTTAACGTACCATTCACGCCGAATTTCTTTCTCCATTCAAGTGTATCCCAACATTGCTTAAACGACTCTTTCATGTTGTAATCATTGGCGACAAGAAAGTTTGTCACCCAGAAATCCTGATTTATTCTCAATAAATCCTTTGGATGGAATCCATCTAGGTAAGTAAATTGAATTTATTTAGTTGACATTGTTTACTTGCCAAAATGTACAGAGAGTTATTGGTAAGCTTTTAATCGAAGTACAAGAAGCAAACATTCATGACAATGTGCCATAACGAGAAATTCAAGGTTACTCGTTTACTGTAATGTGTTTGCGGTGTATTAAGAAATGCAAGTGAAGTATGTATGCACGCATGGAGGGTCCTCGGTTTGAATAATTATTTTGAGTTGGATTCAAAATTTCTGTCACAAAAATATTTGAAATTTGCTTTAAAATGTAAATTTTATTGAAACCCACTTTTATTCAAACCAGAGACCCCCAATAATTAATTTCAATTTTAGAAAATTATGTGGTACTTAAAAACAGTTCTATCCACAAATGTGTAGAAATAGCAATTCTAATTACAATGCAATTATGTGTCTAGTATGGCAATTAGCAACTTTCAAGTCATGTTTTATGATTTGCTTTACTTAAACATCAACATTGCGAATTTTTAAGTCATAATAAACCATGAAGACACTGCCGCGTTCTTTTCTTTGCGGCAAATTGAGAATTAATTTTGATGAACATACATTCATTTTATTAAGTCTGACGCAAAGCCTTGAACAAATCAATTAGGAAAATTTTCGGATATTAACTTTGAATTCACATTGAAGATTCATCTCTAAACTTCAAATAGCTTCAAATGTTAGGAACTAATTAAAGTCATTAATGAAAAGAATTGCGTGATCATTCATTTTCATTTTGAAAGTACAGAAGAGTGTCTTATTGCACATTGGACGTACGATCCTTCAATGTAAAGTTTATAACGAAATAAATAATTGTTTCTTGAAAGTGATTTGCAGTTTTGAAGATTGAATTGCTTTTGAAAATAAGATTGAAAGTATTAAATTTGATGGATGTTGAAGTTTGAAATACTTATTGACGTAATTAAACAGTTTTTCAAAATTCAAAATTATAAAAAACGAAACTATTGAAATTTAACGGTTTATTAGAATTTGAATTTTCAGAAAAATCTTTAGAAATGGTTAAAATCTTGTCTTGGATCAAAAATGCAGTTCTGATCTATTTTAAGTCAAATCAATTTACTCTTGTAGTTATGCAATTCAAAATGAAACTTTATTATCACATCCATATCATATTTACTCTCAATTACTAAGAAATATAAAATTCTCAAACTGTTAATTCTGCAAAATGCTACAACAATATTTATCTTTCAATTTCTTATGTATCGCAAGTAACTGTGGCACCACATAAGGACAACAGCACAGCAAGGTTAATAAATTCACTTTTATACAGTGTATCAATGTCAATTACCAACAGATTCGTCGTCCCCGTTTGTGATTTTATCCAATATTAATTTTCTCAGTTCCTTTACTGCTTCCAAGTCCAATTCTGGATCTTCTGTATGCTTCACCATATTTTATGATTTATTTTTAATTTATCACAAATTATTTTGTAAATTATCACAATTGTTTATTGATTGTTCCTTTAAATAATATTTATGTTCAGTTCCAGACAGTTCAAACTTGTTTATAAGTTTTTGTACAATAGCACTTAAATATTTGTATCCAAAAAATAAATATAAATCAGTAATGTTCGACTGCCTGCTTTAAACTGAACCTTAAGATATTTTTAAGTAAGTAAAGCTGTCTGTTTTTTTAAACAGTTTAATTGTGTATGAGGTGTATACATGAAGTATCAACACATGAGTATGATTCGCACACTTTAAAATTGTTTTTCAGTAGTCAAGCTGAGTCCTACAGCCGGCTACATTTGAGAGTCATCACTGATTTTTGAGCAATTTACATTAATATTCATTTGATGACAATCGAAAATAATCTGTTTATGAAGTTTGAGCAGCTTTGTCTCTCAAATGATTCATGCCATGTGACTTTATGTATCTAAACAAGTCAAACGGAATTCTCCAAAGATGAAAAAAAAATATATTCTCTGACGTCAAAGAATGTTGGAAAGAGCTAACGAGTTGTGACTTACGTTTGTAGCATCGACCTTTGAAACCTTTCTTTGGAAGGAGATATTTGCGGTGGCAGGAGTGTAATCAGTGTGTTTTGATCCTCGGAGCACAAAATGAAATTTTTTGAGAATTTAAAAATCAAGTTGACTCATTTACAGTAGCTTAGGAAGATTTTTTTAACCTAAAATCTAATTGATGCATCAACTTTTAATTTTTTCCATCTAAATTTGCTCGGTTTTTCTCCACTGTTACTATTTTATACCACTGACTCTAAGCTTTCCTCCTGGCTACTCCCCTGTCCCTCTCGTAAATCTCCTTCTGCATTTTATCATCGTCATATCTGTTTTATAGCTGCATAATCATGATTTTGCACAAAATTAATGAAAATCATTAGCGAAACCAAGGAAGAAGTTTGTCTTAACTTTTATTTAATTAATTTAATTGAGCAAGAAATGCTCAGTGGAATGAAAATTAATTAAATTTAAATAAGATTTGTTCATTTCCTCAATTCGAAATGATAATTCAATTTGTACAAAAAAGCTTGGCATTTAGAATATAACCTTGAAAATTACAAGTCACCCTTTATTTCAGTTATTTTTCTGTATTTAAGTATTTTTGATGTCATTTAAGTGTTGCTGGATTTTTTTTTTTTCAAAAAAGACTGGTTTTTAATCCCGTTTGTGGTACTTGTGCTTAATCGTCTTTGAAGTTGAAGTATGTGTGTCAGATGTTTTTGTGATTTTCAAGTTGAATGTTAATAATTTTATTTTTTATTAAACCTTGATTGACGTCATTAAAGGATTTTAGCAAAGACAAACTCATATTAAAGGCCGTTAACAGTTGATCTATATCTAAAAGTGGGAAAATGCATTATCATATCATAAAGTATATGCGTTGAGCAAGACCAAATGTCAAAATCCCTAAAGGAATCGAATCAATCGAATCCCTACTCGTTTTCGTCTTACTACCGCTCTCAATCCTTAAATAACATAACTTTAACTATTCCCTAGATTAGGGCTTCCATAGTATCCTCAAAAACTGGTTCTTGATGCAATGAAACAATTCTTTAGCATCAGCAGAATTAAAAACACTTTAAGCCTTCTCTCATGACATTTCCTGACTCTTGCTATGATAAGCTCAGATTGGTTCAGAATTTTCAAAGACAAAAATATTTTAAAATTCATAAAATATTCATTCAATCAGGATGATGGCACATCTCAAGACATTTTGAGTTGAATGTGCTGGAAAAAAATTATCAATTTTTTAAACTTCGTCAACATTTTAACTGAACCCAAAAACTCAAACCTGAAAGCTTAAAAACTTTCAATTCAAATAGAATAAAACCGTTATTTTTAATCTAAAAGCTCAAAAGCTTTTCAAAACGTTTAAAAATCTTGTAAAACGATCTTTCGATCAACATTTTATTATTTTAGTTGAAATCTGTTGAAAATCAAAAAAGATTTATAGCCTGAAATGTCTATAAAATCAAAAACAAATAAAACTGTCAGTGTTTTAGTCATTATTAAGGCACGATTTTTTATTATTTTAAAAAAAAAATTTAAATCAATCCACAAAAAAAATATATATCGCATTCCATCTGTACAACCTCTCCCTTGACCATTCTTTCAAAAAGACACTTAATAGATGATATTTTGCTTAATTTTAGGACAATAAATTAATTTTATAAAAGCACAATGTTCTTCTTAAATTCCTAACAATGCTTAATTATACTGAATTATTATTTTTTACAATCATAAAATTTGTTGTTCTGTGTGTAGACATAAATTATTAAATAATTACTTCATTAAGATTTGTTTTCATTATAAAAAAAGTTCTTTTTTAGAAATTTTGGGGGTCTGTTCACTTAGGGGTCATTCATAAATGATATCCAATATTTCAATCGATTCTTTGAATCGAAATTATGTGAAACTTTCATGTGAGGAGTCAAAAATTCAATTTCTATTATTAAACGTCATTTATGAACAGCCCCTCTTTACAATAGCTTTATAAATGCATGGATTAGAGGTGGGGGTGTGGTGAGGTCTGAGTTTGTGTGACTTTTGTATAGTTTGTGAGTAGATAATTCCGTTACGTAATAGTTGAACGACCCCTAAAATGAGTTAAACTCATTTTAAACAGAATTCTGATTGTGAGTATTAAGCTCATACTTTATTGGTAGCTTTAAATTTGCCAAACATTTTTCACGCCTTTTAAACTTTAATATTTTTTGACAAACAAATAAAGCAAGTACGAATCCCAATGCTGAGCCAGCGAGAACATCTGACCCTGTGAAATAAATAAAAAGCAATGATTATGACAAAATTCTGTGGCTTTTTTATTTATTACGACTTACAGTGATGCTTATAGTCCGATATTCGACTTAATGATGTGAACCATGCTGCAGCAATCAGAATAAATTGGAGAAAATATTTTAAAATTTGTGTGCCGTTCCATTGAAGTCGTGCATTGAGATACAGCTATGTGGGAAATACATGCAATAGTCATATATTATTTTTATTATTATTTTATGGTATTTGTTGTGGATTACTTACCGCACAAAATGTCATTGTGAAGAAGCTAAAGGATGAATTAGCACTGGGAAAGGATAATCTCATATCCTTAAGCATTTTATCAGTAACATTTGGATTACTGCAGGTAAAATCCTCAATATATCGGTTGAAATTTTTCGTGTCATTACAATCGCTACCGTCTGCATTTAATACTGGTTGACAAAGCTATAAATGTAAATACAAATGGACATTCCTTTAATAATTACTCTGGCACCGTAAAAAATGTACTTCAGACTGCCGATGATAAGCGTGATGAAAATTTATGGCTTTAACATTTACAACTCTTCTTCCTCGTTTATTTTTTTGTGCTAAAGCCATTCTTACATAAACATTGTACATGTTCATTAATTTTCATCAGTCGTATGTTTCTCTGGTCATAGCAAATGAAAAGCAATATATCTTGTCGCACTTGATATACATAACTAAATTATTTGATCAGAACAACAGAGTGAGGATAAGTTGGCGAGACTGAGTTAATAAATGCAAAACGTCTTTTGCCTTTTAAGTGGTTTTTAAATACTTGATAATGAATTTTGAATTTTTCAACGATAATTATAAATTTGAAATTTTTCATAGCTTTCATTCCTTCAATTTCAGACAGAAGCTACGCGAGGAAGTGAAAATGAATTCTAAATCCATTGAATCATCAAATATTATTTGATCTATTAACCCAAATAATTGCAGGTGATTGAATTTAATTACTATGAATTGCAATAAAGAACCTAAACATTCAGAACAGTAGAAAATATGATTATTCATCTAATTTAATTTATTTCCTAAAGTCGAGAACTAAACAAGCAAATTGTTTTATCATCGTGAATCATATTAAGCTACTTAAAGTCATCCGAAAAACATATTTGTCTTATTAATCCGATTGTGACTAATTTTATTGAGCTTATAATCTTTAAATTCTGAAGATGCGATCATAAAATTGAGAAGGCAGACAAATTGAAGTGTAAAGTCTCTCCAACTACTTTATATTAAGAGCTAAGAATACAATCAATCAAAGGTATTCATCCACATGTTGAGTTTTTGACAAGAACATTTGCTACGTATTGCTTTGTACGGATATGATGAATGAAGAGTTCCATGGCCAAATTGAAAAATATGTGAGATGGACAAAATGAAAATAACAAGCCACAATGGAAATCCAACGCAATTTAATCATCATTTGCATGACTACTTGAAGAGGCACTTGTTAGATCCAGGCAAATTGTTTTTTTTTTCACGATTGTATGAATTAATCATTGACATCATGAAGTAGACATGATTGCCATTTCTTCAATATATTGAAACTTGTTGTTCTTCACATACATTGAAGACATGTAATAATGTAAATAATGTATAAAGAAAATTGAATTATAAACTCATAATATGATTGCATTATTCAAGTGATCTGGCAACTTGAATTGCATACCATAGGCAACTGGTGTTCAATTGACAGGATGTAGCCGTTCAACAAGACCATTAATTAACTCGTTAACAATCGTGCTTCATAAAGAGTTAACGTAGAGAGAGAAAAGTATTAAATTAAGTAAGTAAAATGAATCGACATGCCTTCCTTTCTTTAATTAACTCTACTGATTATTTTAATTTTTGCGATTTTTTCAATTCCCAATCCTTGCCTCATTTTTTTTTTTTTGTTGAAATAGCCTTTCGTTGGTCATATCGTTTCCGAAAAGGAATGTTATCAGCTTGACCACCGTAACATGATACATTTTCATTCCTTGTTTCCTTATTCATTACATCGTCTTGTATCATGTCGAGCCATAAATTAATTTCCCTTTATTCATCTTTGTTATTTATTTATTTACTTTATGGAACGGAGAATAAAGTCGTGAAAAATATTTATCATCGATTATTGGGACTGGAAGAAGTAATCTACAATCTTCGTTCAGCATGAATTAATTTACTCTCTTGATCGAGAGGCGGAAAACAAACATATAAAAAACGAGTAAAGAAATCATCACAAATTTTGTCATGACTTTAATGCCTTTTTATTGTTGACATGGTAATGTGCCGGAAAATTATTATATGAAACTTTATATCAAAATAAAAAAAGAATTTTGCACGCGACACAATTTCAATTGGAGTTCGATTGAAACACATAAATCAACGCTGAAACGGCTCGTTGAGTCTTTGTTAATTTAATTTTGCCAAATATTTTGTTTATTGGATCGTGTATGCAATATTGTAGCTAGCGTAGGTGACTGAATGATTAGGTCTGTACAGTTTTTATTAACATTGAAAGTTAATAAATTCGTCTGCAACTTTTTAATCAGATCCAGTCATCCACGTATGGCTTTTTGGATGAATAAATTCATTTTCATTGCATCATACGGAGGATTGTTGCTGGAGTTTGATTTGACTAGCTGTAAATCCAAATTCTCGAGATTTTCGCTCAAATTTTCAAAATTTTTGAAAAATTTTGAATTTCTTGTAAATTAGAAACTTAAGAAATTGACTTAGCTCTTAAAAGTATAGTTTGGAGCTACCAATCTAGTTTACATGGTTTTAAGCTATAAATTATCGCAATTAAGCATACAAACTTGAAAATCTTTAATTTTTTACATTGCTGAAGTTAATGATCCCCTAAAATCTTAGGGGAGTATCTGCTCAATTTTCAAATATTTAACAGAAACTTTAAACTTCCAGAAACAAAAAGACATAAGACAAAGTAGCAACATAACCTCAATCAAAATACAATGAGACACTTAATGTCAGGCTCAGTTCAACGATCCATTAATTGCTTCATTGTAGGGTATATATTTTAAAAATTCTCATTATCAGCTCATTTATCTAATGTCAGGTATATAGTAATTATCTGACATAAATAATAAAGACATCAACAAGATACTCACGGTTATAAAATGCGGTCGATATCGTCCTACTGAATATTTTGCAATGTCTGTTAAAAGCTGGCAACTTATCGTACCAAGGAGAAACATTCCAATATATTTATATAGATTCTGCTTGCATGCTGATATTGTCCATTTGAAGAATTTAATGTCGTGTTCCTCATCGATGCCTGTTTTCGAGCGACAAATCTCTGTGGTGAAAATCTATAAAAGATATACAAGAAAAGAGGGTGAAACTTATAATTTATTGGATCTACAAGCATTGTGGGAACGAGATGGAGTTGTAAACGGCATCAAATGGATCATAAAATACACATTTATTTATATTAATTTGCATAAAACATGATCCATATAAAATAAACAAACAATAACAATAATTTTGCGTTCGAATTGGAAATTTCTCGTAATCACGTGCTCTATAAAAAAACAATATTTTTACGTCTGGTACAAGAAAATTATGCATTTGTCGAACTCCTTTGCCATTCTCTCATTTCTCAGCATTTTGTCTTACATTTCTCATGTTTATGTTTATGATTGTACAGCAAGCAAAGTACTAAGGCACAAGAAGAAGTTCAATTTGCATTTACTGGATATTCATTTTCATGTTCTTGCCTCTGGTTGTGTTTTATTGTTGTAATATTTTTTTTACAGAATGTGAATACAAACTGCAAATTGTATTTATCGTTACAGTCGAGTAGAATTGCATTTTGCTTGTTGTTGTTGCTTTTATGCTCAAATGGCATTCGAATGGATGGGGAGATGAGAAGCAAAAGGGAAATCCGCATATAAAATCGTCATTTTACGCGGGTGATTGAAGCGCAAAAAAAAAAACAGAAAGAAAATTTGGAGTAGGTCGTTGCTGCTCACACATTGCGTAAAGATAAATATTTATATTTGGAGATCATAAAATACTACAAAAGAAAATTTTAACGATGTTTTTGCCAAATGATTGTGTAGTAGATTCTCCTAATTAACCTTACTTTCTAAGTTTGAGGTTATTTTAGTGCTGGCAGCAGTCGTAAAATAAGCTTTTAGTATCGAATTCATTAGCATTCGTTTACACTCTCCAAAAGGACGATTTATGGATGTTATTGACTATAACTGTACCCTTCATTCCACTTATGCCACACGAAGCGGCTTAACTTCAAGACTATGGGATATTATCAATATATGGAAGCAAAATTAATTCTTGTTTTTTTTGACAAGGTGTGGTTAATGTGAGTGGCTGATCGAACAAGGTATCCTGCTGACTGGTTGATATATTTATCTATGGACATCGTTCATATTTAAACACTTTGTTTGGATTAAGAGATTAAAGTTTATTGACCAATATCTCAATGTTCATAACCTCAAAACTATTTTGTGTATGTAACTTGAGAATGACTTATTGATATTGAATAAGAAAGCAGTTAAATTTGAATACCTAGACTAGGATGAGATCATTCACACTTGAGTCAATTTGGTTGTCATTTTTTAAAATTATGATTTGGTGTCAGTTACACAGTTTTGATTAGGAACATGATTTCAGTAGATTATTAGGGACAGGAGCGGAGATAGGAATCTCTACTGATTAAACTATCAATAAACCTTAGTCAAATGTTTGAGAAATCCATCTCTAAATGCTATATGCTTCATACTCCATATTCTAAAGGTTAAGAAGCTCTGACAATAACTCAAAAGATCTGATCAGATCAGAAGACTTGATTGATTGAAATAAACTATACTTAACATCGATATTACACATAGTTCCAGGCTATTTTACACTCAAATTATCATGTAACCTAACAATCCTGCAGTAATTTGATCAACAGACCATAATCACCTTACCAAATTGCTTCCAGTAAAATCCAATTGCTACAACAATTTTCCAATTTTCAAGATCATTCAACCAGCAAGTCAAAATGAGCAAGAAATTTGCATTTCGCAAGCATATTTGCATCAGAAAAGCGCCTATCGTATATTTATTGTTATTATTCGAGCGTATTGTTGCTGGCATTATCATTATAACAAACCAATCAAAAAAAATTAATTTTAACAAAATACGTGAAAATTGCAGGCGAGAGAACGTCAATGGGAATATAATAAGAAGCAATGTGTAAATCGTGTATTGTTACTTAAATTGCGAGGAAAGAAGATTGCAAAAGAAAAGATTTTTTTTTCTGCAAATTAATTTTTTTGCGCCTCTCATTTAAGCTTATGTCCATTCAAGATTTTAATTATATGACATCAAACGAGAATGAATATTTTTCTTAATGCATAAATATTTAAATTGATTCGCTTCTCGTATTTTAATATCGCTTTAAACATTACTTGATAATTTATTGCCTCTTGTGGATATTGAAAAACATTTGGAACCTCCAATTGCAAAGTTAGAGGCATAAATTTACAACATCGAGAAATGGAACTGATTTTAAATGCATATTTAAATCTAATGAAATACAATTAATTAAGCTCGATGTGAATTTATGTCTTTTTTGATTACTTACTCATTTGAATATTTAGATTTAATCAGTAAGGTAGCCGTAAATTATCAATAAAAATGCATCTCGAATTCTATAAAACTTGTTATGCCTCCTCAAGTCTGTTCTTATAAATTTTTAAAATTCTCTTGACATTTAGAAGTGTGATGCTACTCAGAATTCAGGAATAAACTTTTAAGGTCATCATGATTATCCGCATTTAAAGTTGAATATGGAAAAATATATTTTTTGAGGACTTTTATTGCAACATTTTACTGCTCACTTATCGTAAATTTCGCTATATTATGGAAAGTCGTGTATTGAATCCACAATTGATGCTAATTTAACTAACGGGAGGTGCTTGTTAGGTAATTTTTTGTATTCTTGAGTTGGACATAAAATTTCTCGAGTTTCAGTGAAATATTTGATGGTCAGAATACACGAAAAGTAACATGAAGATCCAGAAGATGTGTTTTTCAGATTGTTTATTTAAGGAACCAAATTAATGATAATTGGTTTAAGTAATGCAATATTAACTTAGCAGAATGGATTATGGCCAATTTGGGTTAGTCTTGAAAGAGAATTTTATTAATTTTGAGACAATGTTGCGTTGATTTGCCGATGAACTCAAAGATTAGCTACAAAGTTGCAACAAAGTGTTAAACTGAGGAGTTGAATCAGTTAAATTTACATCGTCAAAGTTGTTTGCCCAAACAACTGATTGTTGGGCAAACAACTTTGACAATGCAAATTTAATTCAAATCTCAAATGAACTTTTTGATATTGGGCTATCTTGTAATCGATAATTAAAAATGCTCACCAAAAGAATCTTTACTCTACATATATAAATATTCAGTATTCCATTAGAATTCAGAGAACAAACATTTTTATTATGTAAAACGAACTCAGTATTTTATCAATCTTTAAGAAACTTATTAAGTTCCTAGGTAAAAATAACTTTGTAAACATACAATAGCTAATGAGCAGAAAACTACTTCAATGTTGTAAATAACAGCTCGAAATCAAAGATTTTGAAGCGTTTTAAACTAAATATCGACTCATTTAACAAAACAACATCAGAAACCAACTTCAAAATCCCCCAAAATCCCTGCAAAAATACTTCAAAGAAAATTCAATCAATTTTAGTTCATTTAAACTCTAAACGGCAATTAAATTTAATCTCAATTCAATTATTTCATTCATTTTCCGAAATATAAAATTTTGCTTTATGTCCATACACATACAAGGGTCAATAACTAAGACTCATAAATCATGATACCCTTAAAATAAAGCGTTACTGCACGTCTACAGCCTCTGAATCTGCTAATCTATTTCAAGTGCAAAAAATATTTTCATTCAAATTGATTTCTTATCAAAATGTAAAAAATCTTTATTGCTGAATGGAAAGAGCAATTTCTGCGTAACCTCCTCTCATTTTTCTATAGCTTTTTTTTTTGAGATGTATAAAAATTTCTGCAGGCACAAAATGTAATAAAGGAAAACAAAAAGAGAATTAAAGTGTTGATATCGCAATAAAAAGATTGTTTTCTGCGGACGGACTTCACGCAACATTCAATTAAGATTGAGGATCTTCAACATTAATAATATTGAGGAGGGCCCTAATAAAATTAAATTTAATTATACGGCTGAGTGTTTCTAATGGACCGACTTTTATGTATTAACGTCAAAAATATTTTATTTATATCTGAATAAAAAAATTTCTTGATTATACAGCATAACGTGTGTGGGATTAGGCATCTACGATCGACGATCGAGAGCAATCACTTGATATTTCTTTTTTTGAAAGAAAATGGAACCTTTTGTGTGCTGTGAAAGCAAACTCAATAAATTAGAATTTAATCCAACTTGACACAGCTCATGTTAAGTAGGAACATTCTTAATATAGTTATTTATCGCTTATATCTTAAAAATTTTGTCTTATAGATGCCGAATTTAACAATCTGGTGTTAAGAACTGCTTCTATTAGACGAGTATATGTCTACATGGCATTTATAGAAGAGCATAAATGAAATTAATGAACAGAGACTGAAAATTTTTCTTATTTTTTATGTCTAAAGTCACTTTACTTTTCGGATTTTATGCTAACAACTTCATCTTAGTCATGGATTGCGTGATAATCTTGAATATTTTGTTTCTCATGAATAAATTTAACATGTTTACAGCCTCATCAGCCCGCCTGACTCTCTTGTTAGAAAGAGGAGAAAATCGTGCATGGACAACTCTACAGATTAGATGTAACTCGAGATGCCTTAGGAAATTATGACTGAATGATCAGTTTTATGTTTGGGAAAAATGAATTTTTATGTTAAGTTGTTCGTGTCTGTAATGTAGTGAGCATTGGTGTGAATTTTTGTCATATCGGCTAATATTATATGTCAGTGTTTTAAAATTTATGTACCATTGAAGATGCTCAGGTTTGTTGCTTATCAACCTCAGATACTATATATGATTCAAAACTTTAGATTCCACACAGCCAGGGGCGTAGCCAGAAAATTTTTAAGGGGGGGGGGGGGCCCATTTTCGAAAATTGAAAACCCGTTATTTTGTATCCTTAAATCTATATTCATTCTTCATAAGTTTAAATATTTAATTCATTATTCATACATTAAATTTAATTTTTCGTGCTGATTTTGACATTTCTTTCATCACTTCCTCTACATTAACTGGTTCTTCTCTATAAATAAACTTAATAAAACAAATATCAGATTTTCGTAGGGGGGGCCCGGGCCCCCTATGCCCCCCCCCCTGGCTACGCCCCTGCACACAGCACAAGCAACACAGTGTCGGTAACGAATATGATGGAAAAATAATTTTTTCAATTATATCTCGCTGCATGCAGACTAACGTCACGTTAAAAATTGTCAGTTTCAGAAGTTTTACCGATTTTTTTTAAATATTTTGAATCTTTTTTAACCGTTGGAAAAAAAACTTTATTCAACATAATTCGAAGCTTTTAACTGTTTAGTTCTTTAAAATAAATAATCTTTGACATATTATTAATGTTTTTGAACTGAAAATGCTTAAGTAAATGCAAGAATTGGTGATTTTAAAAATTTTCAGAACAAAAATATCAAAAGTAAACAAAAGTTGTAAATGTGTAAGTGAATTTTTTCACGAATTATAAATTTGTTAATTAATTGTTAATTGAAGCTCTTTTTTCTAATGTGAACTATTTAATAGTGATGAAACATAATTAAGATTATGTTAATTTAGTTAAATCATTGTTAAAAGAAGCTTAAATCATTGATTTTGATTTTAATTTTTTTGATTTGTTTACATTTTTCTTAACGGTCAATAAAAATTCAAATTTTCGTCTCAAATTTCGAAGTTTTCGACATTAATTTCGAAGACATTTCGAATTTTTTCGAATATAAGGTGGCGTAAGTCTGGCTGCATGTTCATAAAATTCATGCTGAGAATCTATAAAATAAGCTCATAAATCATAGAAAACTATAGAACTGTAAAAAACATTCAAGGAGACATAAATCTCTAGCTTATTGAGTACTTTTCCCATGGATTCGACCATTAACATTCAACAATTTACAAAAATATTAAGAAAGTCCATAAAAAGTCAATTAAATTATAATAACAACCAAAAAGCTATAAACTTTATGCACAACAGTAAATTCTTAAACAATTGCACAATGTAATTAACGTCGTTAAAGTGCGAACGAAATGTTCTTCATCCATAAACATTAACACGATCTTTGCAAACAGTTTATGTTTATAAATTACGTCTAATTAACCTGAGAATCAACTCAGCACATGCAAATGCTGTAACATTAATTCATTAATTACCTTAATAAAACAGTAAACATCACGGTAATTAATGAATAAGAGTACATTTCCTCTGAAAAGTATTTTTCTGTGTACTCAGAATCTTCAACTGTTGGTTTTATCACAAAAGTCAATTAAAATTGCACTACGTAGGACGAAGATGTGGGATATACTTGTTTTAGTTTAATCTTTATTAACTGAGTTCATATTTCAAGCATTTAAATTATTTCCATTCTCTTAATTTAGCATAACAATAATTTAATAAATCCAAACTAGAATATTCTTTGTGCAGCACTTAGAAGCCACTCATAAATCTTGCAGAAACAAACAATAAATTTCATTTCTTGTTACATACAAAAATCTTGTTTTCTCATACGTGATGCATACTTTTTCGTGTTCATCTTTGATCATATCTTATTAAATGGAGTAATGTGAATTTTAAAATCGCTATTTTATAGCTTTATAATTCTCTCTTTTTTTGTTCTCATGAAAATGTTGAAAGGAAAAATTAATTTATTAAATTTTATTGAAACTTTTATGGTTTAGATAAAAACCTGCGATCGAATAGATTATGTCTAAATTTTTATTTTAAGACTTGAAATAAAAAAGAAGGGAAACGAGAAGAACTTAAACACAAATAAAAGATGTGCTAAAAAACAAACAAAAAATAAATTTAATTTATCTAAGAGAAGGCATGGATGTTGTCAAAATATTTGTTTCTCTTATTTAACATCTTTTAACAGATCTTCATTAAGTTTTTCATTTCTATTGTTTTCGTCTTTAGAATGATGAAAGCTAAGAGGTTTTTAAGAGGAATTTTATATCTGCTAACAAGCAAAAAAAAAGAAAAGATTTTTTTGATAATCTTTTAAAGAATAAGGAAAGAAGGGAAAGAGAAACATGAATAGAGTTTCAGTAGCTAATTTTTAATGTTAAAAAATTCACTTTGCGGTTTTTTGAGAAAGCAAAGACGCAATTTTAGAAATTTAATTTTTTATTAAGCCACAAAAGGTCGAGTTACAGCTAAAAGCCACACAGTATTTTTTTTTGTAATATATTCAGAATCAGGGGAGCATACAGTCATAGAATGGCAGGGGAGCTTGAAAGAACGTTGGTTTCTGACCAAACTAGCTGAGTCATAGCTAAAGGCTTCAAGCTATTTCTAGTCCACAAACACACACTCAATCTTACTCCTACATCCAATTCTGTGCATGTCTCAATGCTTCATACAACTCCGTTTCAAAAAAGAATCCTATGTAACATGAGCAAGTGTTCATAAAAAAAAAATTATACTTACAATTACGACAGGTATGATAATGCCAAACACAAACAGCATCCAATGCTTGACAGTTGATATGTGGTAGGGATGCATTAAATCTTCATCATTACAAAAGAAGCCACGCTCATATGGCTCGCCGATGAGGAAGAAAATTGTAATTGAACATCCGACTGCGAGTCATGATAAAATAAAATAAAAATAAAAGAAATTATTGAGTAAGAAAAAAAATCAAATGCATGCAAAGGATCCGGTTATGTATATGTGGACGAACAAAGAAATATCTTTATCGAACATAAAAGTGTGAAACAAAGCGACGGGAATGCATATAATGGCTTGAACATACTTTATTCTTCTCGCTGTTAAGATTAAAATTAAACGAAACGTGCCCAGTAAAATCATCAAAGGAAAATGCAGCCGACAATTGAAGTACAAGAAATCTTGTGGCATTTTTTTTATTCCTCATTCTTTTTTTTTTATGTTTATAAGGAACAAACCGAATTGATTTGACTTGTGTTTGGTGCTACATGAATTTCATCGAAATCATCATCACAAAAACAATAAATAAACACCAAGAGGAACTACAAATCTATGAGTCAAGCCACATTTTTAACGAGTAACGAGTTCACGTGAGGTTCCAACATAAACAACAAGTGGATCATATCAAAATAAACTTAGCATCTTCTCTGCCTTCTCATTCTCTTATGTAAATTTAAATAAATTTTATGAGAGGAAAGAGCTGACTTGAAATATATTTTATGAGTTCTTATGAAAGTTTGATGTCTTGTCTGCTTTTTGTGGATCATATCAATGAATATTTCAGAGATTTTATCGTGTGGAAATCGGAAATTTTAAATCAAAATATTGACAAATTTGACAGAAAATTAATTTACAGACTCGTGGTTTGTTCATAAATGACGTACATAAAATTGGATTTTTTTACTCGGTTTAAATTTATGTTCTATTTGCTTTGAAAATTTTAAGTCTTGATGGTCCTTCTCATCTTACAAAAAAACTGTGACATCATTTACGTACGACCACACATCCAATTTCAAAGAGTATCGACAGTCACGATCGAAATGCGTTCCAATTTAAATTACCTCAATTATCCTCAATTATTCTTATATTTAATTTTCATTTTTCGCTTCTTATTTTTGAATACTTAGATGTGATGTATGCACACATGCTGACGTTTTCTGTATAGAGCATATGGAGAGTTCTTGTTAATTAATTGCAACAACATGACATTTAGACACGATTCTCGTGAACCTGCAATTGTGCATTCAAAGCCAAAATAAAATATAATTTATAAAAAATTAAGAGAGGGAATTGACATTTTGGCTTATTATGCTGCAGACAAACATTTTCGTTTCCTTATTCACGATCATGAACTTGTATCTGTTATGTGTGCATTGCGTAAGAAGCATATTGAGGGAAGAGATCAGTTCTGTGAATGAAAAAAATTGTACAAAGACATTTCATTGTTTCATTCACGTCTCGTATGTTAACACAAGAGAACAAGATCTTTTCAGACTGACGATTCACATGTTTATGCTTAATAATAAAAGAGAAAATTTATAAAAATGATAAAAACATATTCACGAGAAATGGCATCAGTATACTGAGGAACAAAACGCCAGATGATGATTTCGATTGTAACTTGTTGTTTCTATTCCTACTTGATTCACATTTTCGAGAAAGAGAGAATTTTTGGAATCTGGAATATCTTGAATGATTTTATGCTTAACAAATTTTCACATCAGCAATAAAATTTTCATTTCATAACTTTCTTCTTGTTCTTGTTGCTTGCTTTCTTGCTTCTTTTAATTTATTGTGCACCATTTCACAATCAACACTTAGGAAAGACTGTAATTAATGAGACCAATCGATGAAACATTAACAGCACTTTCCCCAAATAATTTATGATCTTGCTCCGATCACGAAATGAAAAGTCTTTTTGACAATTCTATAAACTATGAATAAATATTATTTACATGCTGAACAATTTAGTGAATTGAGAATTAATTGATGACGAATGTTGTTGCTTCAATAGACCCAATCTCTTGACTTGCTTGATAAATTCATTCTCAAATGAAGCACGAAAATGCGACATCAACATGAAATGGGGATTTAATGAATATGAAAAGTAGATGCAAATAGGAATGAGAAGCAACGAACTTGAAAAAATAAAGAATGTATCTCACATTAATAAAATTATAGACAGCCGTAAAATATGTAAAGATAACGAGGTAACTCGCATGAAATTCTCTCAGTTCTGTTTGTGAGAAAGAAACAACATCGATCGCATTAGAATTGAGAGAACAAATGCATTTCCATTAACAACATGCTGACCATAATGTGTCACATTACTTTATGATAAAACCGAATCCAAAAGCAGCGAAAAAATCTCGTTTCCACATTTTCATTCACTTCAATTTAATCTAAATTGGTTAAATTACCAATCCATTCGAATGGAATATATAGAATGGGTTCACCACATGTCCATCACATTAACTGTTTTGCATGTAAATCTCTCAATTTAATGTCAGACATGCACATAAACACAGAATATATGGATTATATGCTGCACTTAACATAAAATTTTGTTTTTTATCAAATCACTTTCGCTGACTACAAAGTAAAGACCTAAAGACTATAATAAAATCATATTATCCGTTCTGATTTAGTTATCGTTGAAAAGATGAGAATTTTTGATGGTTGAAAATGGCAGCAGCACTATAATTAAATTATTTTATGCTAGAACATGTGATAGAATCATCAACAATAATTATATCCAGCTTATCTTGATTGGAAAAAAACGTTTTTATTGCTGAAAATTCAAGCGTGAAATTTTTTAATCTTCAAAACGTGTTTTAGTCACTAAAATTGAATATCAGACATAAAGAAGTTTACGATTATCTAAAATAATCTGAGATATTTTTTTTATGCCCCAAAAATAAAGTACTTTTAGAAGATCAGCAAAAAAACAACGCGTTGCCTTAGAGCGTCTTCGTCAATCATCATGTTCATTCTTCACTAATCATTAGTATAACGCACAAGCTTGTATCTGCTTTTCAACATATTCTCTAATTATTATAGTTCGCAAAATAATTCATCTCGACATTTTTTGTTTCACACTTTGATGAAAAAATTCTAATTTGTCATGTCAAAAGAGTTTATAATCAGACTAAGGTTGGGAACTAGAGTGCATTTTTTAACGAATTTTTGACATTTGAATTTTAATTAATAAAAATTTAAGTGCATGTCATACAAAGTAAAGAAAATGCTCTATATAAATAAATTAATTAAGTTTTCTGTCATGATTTTAAATATTTTCAAGTCAATGCTAAGTCTAAGCATTAGAAGAACTTTGTCGCCTATTCAAAGTGAATAAAATAACAAGTTTATTTCTAGCACTTTAATTCATTATAAAATACAGAACAAAAACTCACCAATTAAAAGCACAGCAAAGTCGATAATGATATTAAGCAGGAGTTTTCTTGATGATTGATTTGAACTATTGCTATGTATAAGTTTTTTGCAACTTTGTTCACTTGCAACAGCTGAGGAGGGTGACGATGATATATCAGAATTATTATCACGTAATCTCTGATTTAATGGAGATGTTTCAGTCGAATCTATGTGTGGCTGCTCCATTGGCAATTTAACTACAACAGTTTTTCCGTTTTGATTCACCATCTGAATAGGAATGAATGGACGGTTCGGAGGGAAGGAAAAAGAAGACATTGTATATATATTTTTTATATTACTATTGTTATTGCGACGATCGTAACATTGATTGAATGATTTTTCGTTTTTTTTTCGTATTCATAAAAATAGATAAAAATGAGCAAATTCTGCAAAAATTATAAAATTTTATGACTCTTCGATAATTTTATCGCAAGTAAGCATCAATTCGTGTATTAGCATGAAGAATATGAACTTGTTGTATAATAAAAACGTACATAAAATCTTATTAAAATTGTAATAAATTTCTAGGTTTTACAGTAGCTATTAAAATGTCTTTGCAAAAAATAACATTCAATGCTAATTGAGGTATTATAGCTAGAACGTTTTATGCTAAACGAGTTTATAATTTAATTACCTCGTTTCCCTTTCCAAATCTTTTAAAATAAATTCCTAAGTCTTAATAAAGGTTTTAATCCTTATTAAAAATTTGGAAATGTTTGGCTTTAAAAACTAATTAGCAAGTTTTAACCGGGCTTATAATTCATACAAGATAGTGTTAAGGAACTAATTCATAAAACTATTTATGAGCACAAAACGTTTGAAGTATGTAAATTTGTTTCAACTAATTGCCTGATAATTATAAAAGAAAAGTTTCCTATAGTCTTACTAAGTTATAATGCTTTATAGTTTTCAACTGTCAATACAAATAAAATATATTGTTTGACATTTAGTTATATGACACTTTGAGGAAGTTCTCACGGACATATAAAACAATAGAAGCGCGATCATAACTCATCATGTTGCCGTAGACAACATTTCATTAATTAAGAGATGAATTCAGGAGGATCTGAACATAGTAGAATATTTACCAATGCGAGGATAAAATCTTTGTGTTCAATTAGTTAAGCTAGAATAAAAATCTATGATCAGCTCTTGTGAACTTCTATGTTTCATCCTCAATATAAGCTAACCTCGAGTTTCATACATTTTTATCGATACGACATAGATCCCAGACATAGCATATAGTTATCGTGTAGGAAAAGCAATCTACAGATAGAATGAATTGTGGGATGAATGCCTTTAACGAAGAGAAAGTCGCACTTCCGCTTAATTCATCAATACTTCTATTCTTAAAAATCTTTAGAAAAACATTTTTTTCATAACAAAACCTTCGCGTGCATAAAATTTCCAGTTCTGCATTGATTTGGTTCACAAAAGGGAGAGAAAGCAAGTCTCGAACAATAAGAGGCTGATTAATCTTGTAAGTTTTCTTTGTGCCGACACGACAACATTAACCATATTTGTTCGTATTCCTTAAATGACACAAAAGATAACTGACAAAGTGGCAAAAGAGCCCCTTTTTGCTGTCAATCTGATCAGGAAAATCTCCCGTCCATAAAAATTTATTTTAATAGTCAAAAAAATCATGAATTTTACTCAATTTGCAATTCAGATCATTAAGCTCGGGCGCAATTCAACATAAAAAAAAATCCTAAAGAACATGTGGAATTAAATAACAATTCTATTTTAAAATTCTTGTCATATAGTCAAAAACGAAAGAAAATGAAAATAAATTTGTGATTCTTTTATTTTGCTATTCTATCGTTTAAAACTGTCAATCAATTTAATGCTATTAAAAGTTTTATTTTTTTGCCAACAATAAACCATCAATTACAATCGGAGGAGATTTAAACAACATCATTCGTTCTATTTTTGCAATAGTTCTCGATAGAGAGAACTCAATTTTGCCGTATGTAGCATTTTCATTTATGTTAATTGATGAATCTCAGCACAGCAGCAAGCGACAGTGTCGCTATATAATTTATGCAAATGCAACAAGTCGACTTTTTCGACAAGTTTTGCGGCATTCCGAATGAATTAATTAATAGCAATTAAAAAGCATCAGATTAAATTTTTAAAAGTGTGGATTTTTGTGTGTGCACAAATCGATAAAACGATAATGACTAATAGATGAGATTAGATGTCCTATGTGTGGCGATAATGATGATGAAATTTTATTGTTTCTCTCTCTTTTGGGACTTTTTTTTGGGGTGTAGCAAATGGAATTTTATTGATCAATTTTTAAAAGGTGTGAATGACTGAAAAAGTTTTGTGGACCATTTTTGATTCATAAAATTAATTGGCTTTACTGTTCCTAAATGACTTGTAAATGACCGCAATATCTAGTCGAGAAATGAGGAAATTTTCGCATATTCTAATCCTATATACTCGAGTTAAGGTAGAAAATATTTGAAATTTATTCATGCAAAAATATTCACATTAAAATTCTTAGGATTTTTTTAAAGCAACTTCATTTTCAAAAACTTAGCAAAATGCGAAAATCTTCAACTTCAAAGAGATTAGGCTCTTCAGATATTCTCGATCGACAAATAAATTCTCATTTAAAATGAGGATCACAATTATTGACTTGGAATATTTCTTTAATTAAGCCAAATTTAGACTTTTTCAACATTTACCAAGTTTAGAGTCAGTTTTTTTCGCAAGTTTTAAACCATGCTACGGACACGTCGAAAAGTCCGTTATTTTTTGCTTTGTATTTCAAAAAACCGTTAAATTTTCATGAATATTTCTTGCAAACACTGGCAAAAACAAGTCTTGAGCAAACGATTCTTATTCTCAGCTTCGTGTTTAGCTAAGCTTAGCTAAAATCATCTCAGAAAAATACAGTAATTTAAATATTAATGCTTAAAATCTTAAAATTGACAGATTTTTAACGGTTTTAAAATATACAAACGCTAGGTCGACTAAATTTAAACATGTCGAAAAAATTCGACACTGAAATGTCCGTAGCATGTTTTAAACAATATCTCCCAGAATCTTATTGATTATTCATTTTTTTTGTATCATTATTAAATTTAAATATTAATTAAATTTGTTATTGATATCTAAACTTAATATTCATTATAATGGGAGAAAAAAAATAAATTTAAATTTTCTTTTGAAAAATTAATAATTTTAAAATCAATTCTAATATTTCCTATTTAAAGAATTAATTAATTCCACGAATAAATCAGAGTTTGCGGAACCTTTATGTAATCTTAGTGAATAAATTGTTAAGATTTATAATCTTGCCAAATATTCACAAAATTTTATTTTTAAAATTGTTCATAAAATTTCAACAAAGTTAAAAGTTTACATGAGTACAAAGTTGCCCAGACTTTGAGCTTAGGTTTTTGAATATATCCTTGGTTAATCCTGCAATTGTACAGAATTAAGATTCAATCTCCTTTAATGTCAACAGTTCAGATCAGATTATCGAAATCAAAAATCATCATCAATTGTATTAGATTTGCAGAATTAAGTATTATATGAATAATTATATAGATTAAGCTAAGACCTTTAAAATCAACAAAAATGTATTATTATTTTCAAAAAATTAACAAAAATTCAAGACATTAAATCAAGCCTAAACTCGTGCTTCTCTTCAAATAAAGTTCCTGCCAGATTATCACAATCCAATCTCATTCAAACCAAACCGATATCCAAAATTTACATATTTATTAATTAACAGCATCTCTTTAAGTAAACAAAATTGATTTTGATATTATCTTATCGACAGAACACGATTTGTGTGGTATAAAAAAAGCAGAGATCACTGTAAATGTAACCCTATGGCAGCAGTAAAGTGCCAAACATTCATATCACCGGGACATTATAGCTCATCATGATACTGATTAGATAAATTCAAACACGAAAAAAATGTAAATGCTCACATCTGGATACATTGTTTAAAATATATTTTGAAGGGGAGTCCCACCACAAAAATTATTTTTTGTTACAATTTTATTTTTTATGTCTTTTTTCACACTTAATAAAAATTTATAAAACAAAAAAAATTCACATTGGATTTTTAAACATTCGAAGAGTCATAAAAGAAAAGTATTTTAAATTACTTGATCTCTCGTTCCTTTTTTGCTATTCCTTATTTAAATATATTTTACTGCCTTAACGTGCTGACAGTGCATGAAAGTGAAGCCTCAATTACTTTTTTTTCGAAAGTTAAACAAATAATTTTCTATTGCAAATATTTTTTTCACTTTTCAATTTAAGCTCATTTTTCTCTAAAGTGTGTGATGTACTTGAAGGCACATAAAAAATGAGAATTTTGCTTCTCCTTTCGTCACAATTACTTTATCATTTCCATTAATCAAACAATCACTGATGATGATTTACAATCATCTTTCACATAAGTTTATGAATTGCAACTTCCGAATGATCGCGTGCGGCACCGCTTAAAATTGCTTTTATTTTTATTTATTTACTTTTTTTTTAAGTTCAAGTACAGAATTGAAGAGAGTACCGGAGAGAGTGGAACCCAAAATAACAAAAAAAAAAGTATACACAAATACAGAATAAGGAACAAAAAAAATATTAATTTACGTGCGTTACGACTGAAATATCATCGTAGACTGAGGAAAGAAACATTATTCACTCTTTATGCATTCGATCGTCGTCCGATTGTTTCCACATATTCACGTTTGAGAAAAACATTCAGCATTGCGTTGGCAACGTTGAGAATTGTGGGAATCCTTTCACAATGATAAATCGCAAATGTTGACAGTAATATAAATAAATGAATTTTTAAAAGATATTGTAAATTGTTCAGACGACATGCCATAAAATCGCTGCAATTAAGGTGGAATTAATCAAGCTCATGCTTGTTGTCCAATTTTTAAAAGTGCAGATTCTTGATGTTTTCAACTTGAGTATGAGAAACATTAGTTATGACGATTGTGTTAGATAAAATAAAATCACAGGCAAACATTACGATAAAGAAGAACAAGCAAGTGCATTGATTGACAGTGAAATTTGTGGATTGTTGATGCGCATTTTTTTATCGAATTTTTTTTTCGGGGTCAATTTAAAGTGAATTTTATTGCTATCTGAGTTTGGTTGATAAGAAATTAATTGAGACTTTATGTTTGCTGACTTTTTTAATATTCAAGGCTTTGAAATTGTCACAAAATTTTAATTTAATTGGAGTAACG